TTGACATAGCAAACTGGAAAATCGCAATTTTTCATCGGTAAATATAGGTAAGTCATCCATAAATGGACCATAGCTATTTGAAATTACCGGAGGGTATATCCTAGAAAGTTCCCTTAAATCAATAAACACCCATTAGATCCTATTAAGTCACGATAAAATCCCATTAAATCCCATTAAGTCACCATGTGTCCAGAGTCACATCGCCAATCTCTGGGACCAGCGGCTGTGGCAGAGGCATGGTATGATATCCCGAGGAGGGGCTGACAAGCCTCGGGACACATTGAAGATACTATGGAGGTTAGAGATTCAAACAACGTAATAACCTATATTACGACATGTGTGTATGTGTATACATATATATATATATACACATAATACGGTATTAAATCGAACTAAGATGTACGTATTTACATCTATATATATATATATTCTAATATATATATATACTAACTATAATATGGTGTATATATATATATACAGTATATTACAATAATATACATACACTATTATTATAATATATACAGTATGTGTGTGTAATACTAAGTATTATGATTCTGCTGCTGATGATCGTTTACAGTGATGATCATGATCCTTTTGCTGCAGGATGTATGCCTAAACTTAAAATATCCAACTTATCCAATCCTGCTTAGCTTCCATGTTTCTTGGTTCAATCCAATTTTTTGCAGGTGAAAACTGGTAGAATTGAATCCCAAACTCTAAACAAAGGTGGTTCAACAAGTTCTTGTTGGTGCTGAACAAGGTAAATTCCCAACACATCTTTTGAACAAATATGTTCAGCTAAAGATGGCCAATCCTAGATACCCTTCAAATATAGTTTGTTCGGGGACTGGTCAGCATATATCCCAGTTTCCAGCAAGGGACTAAAGTACGGACACATGCATATAAAGTTGGTGTACCCAAAAAAAAATGATGAACTCCGTATATTTTGTTGGTTTAAACTCCAATTTCAGATGGTTACTTGCAAGCCTTCCACAGTTAGTACCCAATTTCCTTTGTGAGACACCACAGCTTGGAGGGGTTCAACTAACCAGACTAACCCTCACAAAATGATAGCTGATTGAGATGCACCCTTTTGAATGTGGTTGTTGGTGGTTGTTGGTGGTTGTTGGTGGTTGCTATAAGCCCCGAACATCAACCCTTCTCATGGTGAAATCCCGTTGAATCCCCTTGATCCCATAGGGGCTGGTGGATGTATGTATAAGCTCGCCCCAGTAATGGTAAGTTCATACAAGGTGCCCCAGTTATAAATGGCTTACAATCCCATGAAAACTACTTCGATATACCAATAAAAACCAGCCGAAATTGGACTTCTACACCAAACAATCGCGATTCCGAACAGGTGCACCACCGTGTAAGTAACTTGACCTATCTCAATGGGAATTCCAGGATCCTAAAATGGAGGTACTGTACCATATAAGGCCATATTTTGTCGAGATTTTCCCTTACATAAGCCTTATATAGGCCTTATATATGGTAGGTACCTCCAATTTCGGATCCTGGAATGGCCATTGTTATCCCAGTACATCCCTCCTGCCCAGCTACACCGGCGCTCGCTCTGGCGCAACCCGAGGGCTCAAAGGGGCAGTGGAGGTGCCTCGAAGGCGCAAACTTCAACAGATCCAAGGGGTAGATGTGGTAAACCCAAGGATAACATATCTTTGATAGTTAGAAACTCCATAAAACCATATAAAACCATAATTATAACGTTAAATCATGATATTTTGTTTGCTGGTTTGTTGGTTTGCTGGCGTTTTTTTCCATTTATAGCAAAAAACTACAGGATTAAACTACCTATCCCATCAGAATAAGTATTCCACAATTGTGAAAATCATCAAGCAGAAGCGATTTCGATTTGTTAATTATCGTCATGAATTATAATGAATATTACCATAACTACTGAGTAAGTAGTGGATAGTATTGGAATAAGGATTCATAATAATAAAATTAATAATAATAATGCTATATATAGTAATGTTTGGTAATACTCATTGAGTTGTGGATTATAATATTAACACAAATCAATAATGAAAACAATGAGTAATAAGGATAACACCTGTAGCATGGCCCATAACAACCATCCATAATAATGATAGTAATCCATAACCACCAGTTGTTCAATGATAACAATTAAAAAAAATGGTAGCAATAATAGTTGGCCATGGATAGTATAATTGTTGGTGCTATCAATGGTTGTGCAATAATGACAATAACGAATAATCATCAGTCATAATAAGCATCAGAAGCTATCATAAATTGATTATTATCATCATTATGAGCAATAATCATTGCCAATCTTAGATGCCCTGCAAAAAAAATAAATTCTTTTCTGGTTAGTAGATATTCCCATTGATACCAAAAGACTAAAGGATTAAAGTATCCATGTAAGATTAACCTAGTAATGAATAATGACAACGAAAACACCAAACAGGCAATGCGGACAACTCCCGGGAAGGGGAAACACCAAACAGGGAACGGAAAGCTCCATACCCAAACAAAAAAAATAATAGTGATCATCATCATCATCATCACCATCATCATCATCACCATCATCATCATCATCATCATCGTCGTCGTCGTCGTCGTCGTCGTCATCCTCGTCATCATCATCATCATCATCAATATGCAGGAAAAAAAACGATCATGACAATAATGATAATAAGGACGATAATACGGATGATAATAAGGATGATGATAATTTCAACACTCATGATAAACATGAACATACCAATAGTCTTTTTGGGGAACCACCATTTGAAATCCCTGGGTTCAGAAAGAGGAATCGTCAATCCTCCCTTCAAAACGACTGGTAAATTCATATAGCTATGGAAGCCATGGCCCATTCATATCGATGAATCACAGTGAATTAGCTACCCTCTGGTAATTTAACAGTTTGCTATGGAAAATGACCCATTTATACTTGATTTACCAATTAAAAATGGTGGTTTTCCATAGTTATGTTAGTTTACCAGAGGGTATCAATAATGGTGATAAGTTCAGTGATTCTCCATAGCTATGTTAAATTACAGGAGGGCAAACTTTTATTTTTGCGGATACCCTCTGGTAATCAAACGTTGCTACCTCGAAAATCCCCAAACTAAATGGAGGTAGTTCGCAGCCAGCCATGTTACCAGATGGCAATATGATTGAATACTTGAGAACAGCAATGAGAAAATAATCATAGTAATAATGATGATAGTGATGATGATAACAGTAATAAGGTAAACCCAGTAATAATCCATTCCCAAGTCATCACCAATTTTACGGGTGCTATTCACCAACCCGAAATAGTAGTTTTTAGTTTTTTTTACTTGCGTTTCCCACATTACTACGTAGTATATAATGAGCATGATAAACCCACGATTTCTTTCGGTCGAACAGTTCCCATGACTGGAGGTTTCCTAAAATGGGTGTACCCTCTGGGAATTTAACATAGCTACTGAAAATGGTGATTTATATTGAGTATTCCCATTAAGAATGGTGATTTTCCATAGTTTTTTGTATGTTTACCAGAGGGTACCCCCAGTCATCCATTTGATTATCGGATGTTTCATTGTGAACCATCCATTCTGGTGTACCCCCATGGCTTAGGAAACCTCCAGTCATCACTCTAAAAAGTTCAGCACGTTGCACCCAAAAATCATCATCTCCACTCGAAAAGATCATCTTCCGAACCACATGTGTCCTTTGACCCTCTGGTAAACTAACGTAGCTATAGAAAATCACCATTGTTAATGGGTAAATCAACTATTTCTATGGACATTTTCAATAGCAAACTGTTAATATACCGGAGGGTATTTTTTGGGATCCCCTATTTGAGTTTGTCTGAAAATAAGATACCTCATTCCATCGGGGAATCATCCTTTTCCCTATTAAAAGGACAAAAAAAGGGGACCCATACCCTCTGGTAAACTAGCCTAACTATAGAAACCCACCATTTTTGATAGATAAATCAATTATCACTTGCCATTTTCGATAGCAAACTATTAGTTTATCAGAGGGTATATCCCGATTATTATCCCAATAATTATCCCATTCATTGATCCTATGAATCTTCATTTACCAAAGGCTAATGTCAATGTTTTACCCAATAATCACCATGATATTCTCAATAGTCACCATTAAATCACCGAGAAATCACCATTATAATCCCCATTAATCGCCATTCATTTTCATTTACCAAAGGGTGGCCATAGGAAATCCGAACCCCCCAAAACACCTCCCGGGGATCGCGGAGCCGAGCGCGGAGCGGACATGGCGTTGCGCACCAGTGGCTCGCGCACGGCACGCAGCAGGGTGGCCCCGGGGGTTCCTGGCCAATGCTGGTGGAAATTCATTGGAAAATCATGGGAAATTCATTGGAAATTCATGGGAAAATCATGGGAAAATCATGGGAAAATAAGGGGAAAATCATGGGAAAATCATGGGAAAATCATAGGAAAATCATGGGAAATGCAGGAAATCCCCTATAAATGGACGTTTATAGCTGGCAAACACATCGATGGGGGATTTGATGGTAGATCTAATGATGGTATCCCCAATATACAGGGTAACTTGATGGTTCCCAGGATATTCCAGCATTATTCCCACTATATATATTCCCATTAGTCTTATTAATATTTAGGAACAACAATAATTGCTAAGAGTAAAATGTAATTAACATTTAAATAGTAATAGTACTTACCCTCCAGTAAATTAACATAGACCCTGGCAGTCATCGGGGTTGGAAAATGAGTGAAACAACTAAACAATTGTGCACCTCAACTATGGTACACAGGTGGTAGATCCATCACGCCTTTTGGTTGATCGTCGGCTATGCTAAGGGGGCTCGTGCCCAGATGTCCACATAAGTTCATGTTAGAGAATCCGACTGACATGTACATTTCACACGTCCCCTAATGGATTCTCTACACGCTTCACCGTCTCTCTTTCCATTTTTCACACAAAACAGCAGCACCAAACACAAAAACAACAGAAAAGAATCAACTTTTGAGTTTCTTTTGAAGTTTGCCGGCCAATTTGGTCATCTCATCATTCTCTTGTAGTATCACTCTGCCTTCTCGTAACACTCTCCGAAGCAGCATCATAGGTGCACCTAACTTTGTCAGTCCATCTACTAGCATCAGATCTGTAGGAAGCCATTTTACAGGAACTTTTTCGCTCCCAATGTCTTGTTTCATCAGAAGCATCTCAATTGCCAGCCTCTTGTCCTTGATTGTCATGACTTGTCCATGCAAGTGATCATATGCAGGTCTGCTGTCTATTGAGAGCACGATAGCAGTTTGTTTCGTGAGTTCTCTGTCACTCTCCAGGGTATATGATGGACACGTCATTTCTGTCCACATTGATCGTAACCATTTCGCCTCAGCCACTGCCCTTGACATAGTCAATAACTTTGCTCCCAGAGTCGAAGCAGTTTGTCGGTCCTGCTTGAAGCTACGCCATCTCCATGGAGAGACTTTTGACCACTTATTTTCTTTGAGCCCTTTTTCCACTGCGCAAACCATATACCCTCCCTGACTTTTGTGTGCTTCAGCATTTGCAAAAGACGCATCAGACCAAACCCCAATTTCCAAGTTTTGAATAGGAATAGGAAGAATCTTGATTTCAGTGTTGGAATGATCATGAACCTGAGAAACAACCTTGTTAACCTCAATCAAATCACCAACAACAGCTTTTGACACTCTTTGTTGAAGAAGTGAGCATGAAGCAGCTAGGTCAGGTCGGCTTCCAGAAACCAACCAATTGATTTCACCAAGCACTGCACGCATTTGTCCCCTCTCGTTCTCCGTGATGGGACTTTCTTTTTCTCGCCTTCTCTCTTTTGACACAGGAATACATGCCATGGCACTCGCATATTCCTTTTGTTGGATACACAAGGTCCCATCATCACATTGAACCAATTGTTTACCCAAAAACTCACCCTGTTTGTCTTTCACATGTTTGAAAGGATATTTCGACTGCAGTTTCCCAAAAACATCATCATAAAACTTTTCACTGCCACCAATTATCAGATCATCCACATGAAACGCAATAATTCCATCCAACACATTAGTTTCGGGGTCCCAGTAGTGAAAAACACAACTATCCAGCTTTGACTGTCGCATTCCCAGTTCTCCCAGTGTCTTCGTCAGTGACTTCCACCACAGTCGTGGTGCGTCTGCCAACCCGTATACTGGTTTTATCAGTTCTATGACTGACTCGCTGTCAACTCCGGGTATGCCATCACTCGGTACTTTTACTAGCACCTTGCCTTGTGTCCTTTTCATATCATCACCTCTCAAGAAGGCAGCTTCAATGTCTGCGATCTTCATTTTCCATTTCTTTGAGGTAATCATTTGGACGGCTGTAGCAAACCCCTCTGGTGACAAGGTTGGTGCGGCGGTTGCAAGGTCAAGTATGTCAGGGTCAAGGTAACCTCTTATACACCACCTTGCTTTCAAGGGTCCAGTGTCTTTTCCATCAGACGTGGTGTACACGTACCTACTCTCAAGCAACCTTTTTCCGCCATGCGTTTCTACCAATCTCCTTGCAGCTTCTCCAACATGCACTTTAACAGCTCCGGAGTCAATCATCTTCGCCCACTCTTTGGCCTTTGCATTGACCAGTTCATCTAGTCTGTCATTGTTCAATTTCTTGATGTTGATCTCCTTCCTACCTGCCTTTTTCACAGTGGCCATGAACACATCATCACTTACATGACAAGTAGCACGCCCCTCAAGTTTCCTACGCAAGTATGTGTCATGCAACAACTCACACTCAAACGCATCATTCGCAGCATGATCACTTGGTTTCTGTGGTGTGTCATGTCGTGGTCTTCCAAAATCCAGGTTGTCCAGGCTTTTTCTCATAGCTTCAGTAAGCTTTGTCGTCCTTACTGGTCCATATTCAAGTGCTGGATCATTACCTGGTCTCTGCATGCTGTGTGAAGGCTGTGAACTCTGCTGTCCCGTCTCTTGCTCCACATGCTGTTCCATGCCATTCCTTTCCATGCCATGCTGTCCCGTGTCATGTTGTTCCATGCCATGTGTGTCATTTTCCATCATTGGATCTTTGTCCTCAGTCTGCATGTCAGATCCTTGACTCTCCTGTTCTTGGTTCACTGACACACCCATGCTCGGACTGTACATGGTCCGTGCGGGAGATTCTGGAGTGTCCATGATTTGATCACTGTCCACATGATGTTCCTGTGGCCAGTGCCGTTCTTGCATTTGCCTGTCTCCAAACTCATGCATGTCATGTTCCATGTTCATGCTCATGTCTTGACCTCCATCAACGTCCATGTCATGTTCATGCTCTGAGTCAGGAGGCTTAGGCTGTCGGTCTAATTCCACGACATTTCCTGCCCCCCTCTCTCTCAGATTGTTTCTGTGGATTCTCAAGTTTTCCGGAATCCACCTTGCCAAATCTTGCACTTCTCTACTCTGATGCCTAACTTGTTCAGGACAACAACGGTATATCTTGGCACCAAACGCAACCCACACCTTGTCCGAGTGCACTCCAACAACTCTCCCAGGTCCTTGCCAGTGACACTTTGTTTGCCCACGACCCTTTCTCCAAATTAAAACTTCTTGGCCTGGCGAAAAAGGCCCTCTCTGTGGTCGGGTTCTGTGACTAAGTGCCCTACGCAACCTGTCTTCACTGTCTACTTCCAAAAACGCCTTCCTGGCTGCCATTCTGATCCTATGTGCTCTTTCATGTGTCTTCTCTCCTTGTTCAAGAGCAGACTCCATTTGTTCATTTCTGTCGATCATGAGAATGGATCCAGGTATTCTCACATCTTGTCCAAGCACATGCTGACATGGAGAGTATCCCTCTTTTCTAACCAAGGTGTTACGTGCATTAGTTATTTGGTCGGCAAGCTCTTCGGTTTCCTCTTTACTTTGGGGGTCAACTTCCAGTAACCCTTTTTGAAAAGCCGTCTGCCAAGTTGCTCCTGCACGTTCGCATACTCCGTTCTGCCACGGACTGTAGGCTGCTGTAGTCTCATGTATTGACCCGTCCCTAAACAACATGTCCGTCCACTCTTGTCCAAACTCTCCCCCACCATCGGTAATCACCTTTTTGGGGGGCCCCGCCCAACGTTTCCAGAAACACCTGTATGCCTTCCTAATCCTTTTGATTTCAATTCCTTTCCATAAGGGAACACACACCTGGAAATGGGTGGCCAAGTCAATGATGTTCAACACTTTCAACTTTCTCCTAGAAAGCTCAACTTCAAACGTATCCATGGCAACCACATCATTGAAATGATAAATGGGGGTGGCTTTGGAAACATGGTGAGATTATGTGAGATTTCTGTTGTTGGAACTGTTCACATGTCGTGCACCTAAGACCCTTGGCGATTTGGATACATTTTTCCGTAGCCCTAGCAGCTTTCAGCATTCCAATGAACCGTGGTGTGGAAGGGTGTCCAAGGTTTTCATGACATCGTTTCAGCAACACAGCAATCCGTTTGTCGTCTTGTTTGTTTTCGTCCAACCCTTCGACCGTCAAGACACAATGAACTACATGACTCTGTTCTCTCTCATGCATGTCTCTCAGAAAACCCCTTAAAAGAGCCTTGACAAATTGTTGGGGGTACTCTTGAGCCAGCTTTGAACGAGGCACCCATTGTCCTCCGATCCGCACCTGTCCCATGATTGGTTCATGTTCATGGTCTTGACTGCACTTCAGTTCCATCTCTTGAGCCACATGTTTACTGTTAGTCATGATGCCCGTACTTTTTCTATGACGTCTTTTGCTGATTCTGTCTTTCAAACCAAACATACACTGGTCCGCCGCAACCCTGTGCACCTGGTCATTTTTCAAGAGCCTTTGCATGCAAACATCATTCCATGACTTCGCTCTCAAGGGATGCTCAAAAACAAAGATGTCACCCCTGTCCATTTGGTCCTGAATCAGCTGTGCAGCGTATCTCAGAAAGATTTTCCCTTCATAAAGTTGTTTCAACCATTCCTTGGTATCCCAGTGTTTTCTCAAATTTTGGAGTGGGGAAAAGGGCCCGCATGGTGGACACACCACCAGTAGCTTTGGTTTTCTCACCCTAAGTTCCTCCCGCACTCGGTCACGCTCCTTTTTGTCGCGCAAGTCAACACCGGTAAGTATGTCATACGACGGTCCACACTTCAGTCCCACAGCTGCAGCTGCTTGACTTACTCGTGGAACAGAGAAAATCTCCGCCACCTCATGCTGTGATAGGGAGGTTTGGCTTATAATCATCACATCACATCTACATTTTTGAGCTTCCCGCTCAATCTTGTCCAGCCCCGCTTCTATCACACTTCTGCTCACTTCCTCCAGTGGCTCTATTTTTCCTCGACTGCCTTGAACATCTTCCATGCCATGTGAATGCCCATGATCTCGGACACCTGCATCATCTTCTGTGCCTTCTCTGGGTTCTGCTCTGCCACATGTGTGACGATCTCCTGCCACATCTGATTCTGCTGCTCTTGGTTCTTTTCCTTCTCTAGCTCGTCCAGAAATGCCCATGTCTTGTACTCGTCGTAGTCCATCTCCATCGCTGTCATCTCGTGAGACCATCCTTCTCCCTCTCTCTCTCGACGTCTTGAGCTCGCTGGTGGTTCTACTGACTTTGCCTTCGCCTTGGCGGTGGTCATTGCTGCCACATGGGTCTTGGGTTGAGGAGCAACTGGACGCTGCTGTTCCATTCGGCTCAAGAGTCTCTGACTCTTCTTCTGGTCTCTCATCTCCACATAGAGGCGGTAGCGCCTCATCTCTGGACTTGAGCCCTGTGGCTGGATGTTGGAGCGCACCCACTTCAGATGCTTCTTGTCCTGAGTGTAGGCATACTCCATGTTGTGAGTGTTCTTGTACTTGCCGGCCTTCATCACTTCCTGTCCATGAACTGGCTTCATTGGCTCGTCTTCCTCGTGGTCGCTGTAGCGATCGATCTCTTCCTGGATCATGTCGATCTTGTCTTCCACGATGAGCCCGTTCATCAACTCTTGTGCCAGTGGTGTCATTGGCACTTCCTGCGTGCGATACATGGCACTCAGATTTCCTCGAGGCAGTCTCTTCACCTTGAACCGCTGACGGCTTCTTGTAGATGAACTCTCGTGGCAGTATTGGTATTGCGTAGTGGCCCCTTTCTGTCTTCCCCATCTTCACTCGCTGGTTGATTCTTTTGAAAACCATCTCATCAGTAGTAGTATCAAGAATACATTCCAAACTCTTCAACAGTTCTTTTGAAAAGAGAAACGGTGTTCGGCTGCCTGGTTCAGGCAAAACTGCTGCATTGACAACCACATGTCTTTCCCCAATAGTAACCGGTATGCTAGCTACTTCACAAGACTTCAAAATCCCCGCGTTCCCAAAACGGAATTCATTAACTTCTCTCCGCCTAGTCACAATGAGACCCTTCTCATTCAACCTAGACTCAAGCAATGACAGCACATAATCACCGATCAGCGTACGGCGACATGCCGTGTCGGGAACTGCGTGAGAATCCAGGGTTGCTGCCTGGTCAGACTTGGAAAAAACTGGCTGCGCCCCCTCATGAATTGCGCTCAGCACTTCATGTTCAAAAAGTCGCAGCTGAGCATCTGGATCCACCACCTTAGTCGAGGTACTTGACTTCTTGGACTGGTCCATGGTCTTCAGGTAGAGTTTTGTCTTTCCACGCCAGTTGTAGTCCATCTTCTGATGGGGTACTCTGGTCGTATGGTAGTTGTCCTTGATGACACTCTTTTCTCCGGTGGCCACATTGATCATGATTGTCTCCCGTTCGCCCGAGAATTCCTCCATGGCGATAGGAAGATCTTTGACTCCATGTGGTGTGAAGAGTCCCTTCCTTTCTTTCTGATGGATGCGTTCCAAGACACCCATTTCCTTGTCTAAGACCCATGTGTCTCGGTTCCTCTTGGCACCCTGGTCTTTCTGTGTCTCCGTCTTGGTCTTGGTGTCAGTCTCCTGGTACCCGTGGTACTCCTGCTCATAGTCCTTGCCCTTGACCTCGTCTAGGACATAGCTCTCAAAGAAGGCCTCGTCATCACTGTAGCTCTCTACAATGTGGACCTCCTTCTGGCCTCCTTCGCTCTTCTTGCCTTGATTTTGTCGAAGCGGACATTCCTTCTTCCAATGACCCATTCTCCTGCAGTGATGACATCTGGTCTTTGCCTTCAAGAGTGACAGCTTTCCTTGAACGCTTCCTTCAAGCTTCCATTGTTTCTCAGTCGTGTTCACTTGTCTGAAGCCACGAGAGGTCTTCTTCTCCTGCATCTTCTTTCGAATGCTAGAGTAGTTCTCGAACACCTCCAATGCATCCTCAGACTCATAGTCACTCTGTTCTTGAGCTTGAGTGGCGGCTGCTTCCATGACCTCTAAGAAGTCATCGTTGCCTGGTACTTCAAGTTCAGTGGCCTCATTTGGTGTCTCACTGTCTTCCTGGGCAATGAAGATCTCCTTGTCCTTTGATTTGCCTGGGTTCACTCCGGGACCCTGGCCATTTGGAAACACAGCCTTGAGAGCTCCTAGGACATCTGTGTAGTTCAGTGACCCCGATGTAGACGTCATGATCAGGGCCTCAGATGTCGAGTCCAAAAGAAGCTTCTTCAGTAGAATCCACCCTCTAACTGGCTCAGGTAGTTCTACTTTGTGCCGTGTCAGCCCTCTGTAGGCTGTGTCCATCCGTATGACAAAGTTCCTATAGGTCTCCAGGTTCTTGATTGGCGCCGCATAGAAGTACGACTTGAGACAGCGTTGAAGCTCGTCCTTGTCCAGCTCTTTGTAGCGCTCGTCAAGAAGTTCAAACACCTTTTTGTAACCCTTGTCATCAGTGATGGTACTCAGCTCTACATGTTCCATCAACTCTTCCGCTTCTCCCCGTAGATGTTCAACTAGTCTGGCTCCCCATTTGCTCTCAGGGACCGTTGTGGGTAGCCCCATCAAGTACCTGCCTTTCGTCTCCATCTACGGTATTCTGACGCATCCTCTCCTGAGAAGGTCTCTAAGTTTGTTCTTGCGTTTGTGTCATCCTTGCTCCCTGACATAGTCCACGTTCCAATCCTCTGTCGCTCTGCCCACTCCAACAGCGTTTGCTCTTGGTTTTGGCAGCTCCGCTACCACCTGTGCACCTCAACTATGGTACACAGGTGGTAGATCCATCACGCCTTTTGGTTGATCGTCGGCTATGCTAAGGGGGCTCGTGCCCAGATGTCCACATAAGTTCATGTTAGAGAATCCGACTGACATGTACATTTCACAACAATAACTATTTTCAGGGTCTATGTTAATTTACCCTCTGGTAAACATACAAAAAGCTATTGAAAATTGCCATAGATTTATAGTTGATTTGCCGACTTATCCATATAAATAATGGTGATTTTCCACAGTTTTTTGTATGTTTACCAGAGGGTACCAGAGGCTAATTCCTATTCCCAATAGTAGTGTGGGGGTTTCCCAAAATTCATTGGGGGATGGTCATTTCTGCCAATGGCATTGGGTCTACCTTTTTTTTTGAACCAATAAAACCATTATATGCCCATATATATATATATGGGTAAATTATACTATTTCACTATGGCTATTAATGATGGTTTAATGGGATTTAATGGTGTTTAAACCATGATGTTCTCACCATGATAATCCCATAAAAAAATGGGAAATCATCACCATGATCATTTTCACTAACCTGAATAGTTGGGCCATTTGGATGATTCCCCGAATCCAAACTATGATTATAGTGAGGGAGAACAGTGAGGTCGTTATAATTTATATATATAACTCATATAAATCCCATTAACATGACATTCCCATCGTATTACCATTATAAATATGATGTGTCCCTGATATGTCCATTAAATAGTATAACATGGAAGAGCAGCACCAACTGTAACCAAATACAGTATAATGGAATGATATTGGAATTCTTTGTAGTTAATCTATATAAATATCATCCCAGCCAATAATCAGAAATATTGGAATATAGTATAACCAATTACTACTCCATAAAACCCCTGTATATATATATATTTGATGGTTGAACCCCGTGTGAATTCCATTGAACTGGGGTTTTGAATTACATTCCCATAATATGCTCATTCTATTCCCATGATATTACCATTACATAGTATAATATAGAAGAGTATAATCAATTATAGTACAATGAGTTATCGCATAACCGAATAATCTAAAATTTCTATAATCAATAACTACTATTTAGATCGGCGTTTTAAGAACTATATTCCAATCATATTCCCATGACATTCCCATCATATTTCCATATCCACTGCGCTTCGCATGGCCCGCTGGACGTCGCCTCCCCCACTTCCCGTGCTGCTTACGCCGCCGCCCGGGAAGGTCATCAAGCGTCGCGCCGTCAGTGAACCATCAGTGGAGACCTGAGCAGCTGCTGGGGAAATTTTATAGCCATGATACATCTGGGCAATATATGGTTAATATTTGGTTAATAATACTATTAATGGTATTATGGTTATTATTAATGGTATATAATGAGATAATCTATGAATATTCTATGGGATAATCTATGGATATTATATGGTTGAATATATGTTCAATCCAGCTATAACCAGCCATAAAGCCATTTTATAGGGTCGGAAAAATTAACCAGATGGTGATAGCCAATTTTATATTCTTCCAGTATATAAACTATATTCCAATATTGTATCCCATAAATATATCTGGGCAAATTAGAATAATTCACTAACCTGAATTGTTGGGCCATTTGGGGATGATTTCCCTTATTAACCATGATTCCAGTGAGGGAGAACAGTGAGGTCGTTAGAATTTACCCAGATATATAGAGTTTAGTGGGGTTTTCACAAATGGTGTTTAATGGTGTTGAATAAATGGTGTTTTATAGTAGAAAAAACTGGGTAAATCATAATATGGTTTAACTATATGGTTTATGGTAGATATAACTATAGATATAAACCTTACACCATATGAACTATATATAGGTAACCATATAACCACCAACAACCATTAAATAGGTACCCTTTGTTTATGACCAACATACCCATGGAAAATCATCACTAAAAAAAAGCTACATCATCTATTTCGATTAGGGTCATCTATACCATAGCAAACTGTTAGTCATAACCAGAGGGTAGATCAATATCCCAATTTTGAATGGTGAAAATCCCCAGGCAAGTTATGGTTTTTTCCCCCATGAATCCCCATTATCCCAAGCATGGAACGATTGTCAAAATCTGGGTTCCTGGGCTTAATCTGGGCCCGTTTCGGGATGGTTCCTCTTATGCTTCCACGATTCCGGGCGGAGAATAGGCTTAGTTTTCTTACGATATCTGGTGTTTTTTCGTGGGGTTCAATGGTGTTGGGCTTGAATTAATGGTGTTTAAGGGTAATGGGGTTTAATCGCGTTTCAGGGTTGAATGGTTTTTTTTCAGTGGGTTTCATGTTGTTTTTCAGGGGGGGTTCAGGCCTTTTTTGGACCTGGTTTTGGTAAATGGGGGATTCAAAGCCCGCAATTTGAAAGGGAAAATGATGAGATCAAGCTTGAGGTCCCCTATTTAAAGACAACCCAAATAGTGATCGGTATCATGCCTTCTGCTCGACGTGAACATGTCCTAGTACGCAATGGAACTCAGATGCGGGATCCAGGAATTGTAAAAAGTTTATAATCCAAAATATAGGCAAGTAACTGGGGCTAGGTTGTTAGTAAAAGCACTATTTAACGAGCGTTAGTGGGATATATATATACAGAGAGAGAGAGAGGTGATCGCTTGGGTTGTATTTCGATACTGTTGACATAATACATCTGATATTATAAAAATATACATATATATATGATACAATATACGTATATGATATATACTACACCCACGTATGTATATATATATTGTACATATAAATATATGTAGTCTATATATGTATATATTGTATGTATATATATATATTGTATATATATATTGTATATATATATATTGTATATAATTATATATTCATATTGTATATATGTATTTTTATATATATATATATATATATCATATACACATCACAGATAGAGAGAGAGAGAGAGGGAGAGATGTCTGTGTTGGTTAAAATCATGTCTATTTCACAATGCCCAGGCACACCACCAATGAGGTCCCGCAAGTTTCCGTGGCGCCTCTGCAGCTCCTGCGACCCGTCGGTCCCAAGGGGATGGGGAAAAAGAACGATCGAATGGAAATACAGCGGTATAAAATCAACCATAATGGTTAATAATAGTTAATAATGGTTAATAATGGTTAATCTATGGTTTATCTATGGTTAATCTATGGTTTATCTAATCTATGGTTAATCTAGCTGGTTGGTGGTTAACCTACCCCCTGAAAAATATGAAAGTCAGATTGGACCATCATCGCAACTATTGGGGAATATAAAAAATGTTCCAAACCACCAGCCAGATAATATGGGAATAACGAATGGGATGTAACTTGATATGGGCTTATATGCGGTGAAAGGAACATATGCTTCTATAGTGATATTACCCAAGTATAATGGGAACTCCAAGGTGAAATGGCATGTTTCATGGGGGGTATAGCACATATATGGCTTCCATGCCTGTTTCTCAAACTTCCGAAAAGCCCCATTTCATTGGTTTCTGCATTATGAAACTGTTAGCAAATACCAATAGCTTCGATGATTTTGGGGTCTGCCATTTTTGGAAATATCCATAATCCATTTGGGTAATCAACCAGCAATAAGTGTTATTATGCTAATTATTACGATGATTGATTAGGTAATTATGCTAAGCATTGTTGAAAATGTTGAATATAAATAAATAAATAAATATAAATATAAATATATATATATATTCTTAGCCAGATTACCCTCCTGTAGACAGATACGGATGTGGAAACCTTCCAGTTGTAGATCATTTCTCATGGGTTTTCCACATCGTAAACGTTTCCCCTGGGGTAATCGGTGACTTTCCCACATGTTTCACGTCCGACTCGTGTCCTGTAGCTCCCGCATCAGCGCACTGATGCGATCTTTGTAGGCTGACTCTACGTCTTCCTTCTCCTGCAAGGTGGAAAATGCGGCTGGGGGAACTGGGTGAACTGGGTTAGCTTAGCCAATTATAAGTATGTGCATGACTATTGACTAAATGTGACTAACTGATACTCACTGGATATGATTTGTCCAAACTAAAAATGGGATTGTCAATTAGCTTAGTCAATTCATGGATGGATATCAAAAAATGGGGATGTTCAGCAACAAACATTGGTATTTAAGCAATAATAATGAGTAAGTGGTTGGTAGCCATAATTTATTTTGAGCTATGTCAGCTATGTCAAAAAACACATCGGATAACCCCAGGAATGGGGCACGATTCGTGGCATGACCCTGCAAGAAAAGTACGGGAGACTTAAATAGGTCAAATATGACCCTGTCACCTAGTCCTGACATGTCCTGAATCTATGGAAATCAATGGGATGATTTAATGGTGATTATATAAAAATGGTGATTAAAAATGGTGATTTATAAAGGGAATATCATGGAATCACCATTATAATCCCATTGATTTCCATAAATTCAGAAAATTATCATGGTGATGATTTCCCATTATAATGGGATTATCATGGTGATTATCATGGACATGATGCGTTTCACCCAGGTGGAACTTTGTAGATGGGATCCACTGTGGCTTCACCCAGGTGGTACCCGGCTGTTTTTTCGTCCTTGAGCTGTTGTCGTAGCAGCTGTATCTCATCATCTGCCTTGGAAGATGAAAAATCTGGATAGTTGGGAAGATGAATGGATACTATCCATAATTGATACTATCCATATCAAATATGCCTTGGTTGGATGTTGCTTATATATTTTAGAGTTTCCAGTTCTTTTTCGGGGGATCAATGGGGATATGCAAAAATCTATGTACTATATATATATATAGCCACAAGATTCTTCAATGTGGTTTTCTTGGTGGGTCTTTATTCCCTTCGCTATCATATATGTATATATATGTATATGGTCTTTATGCCGTTTACTAATATATATGTATATATACGCTGGTTGGTGGTATACCTACCCCTCTGAAAAATGATGGAGTTCGTCAGTTGGGATCATGAAATTCCCAACTGAATGGAAAGTCATTCAAAATTCCAATGTTCCAAACCACCAACCAGTACGTGTATATACATATATATATATATATCTGGGTAAACTATAATATTTCACTAACCTGAATTAAGGCCATTTGGGGATGATTCCTCTTATTAACCATGATTCCCAGGGTTCGGTCGCAGTGAGGTCGTTATAATTTACCCAGGTATGTATATATATATATATTATCCCATTGTTATTCCAATTATTAACCATTATTAACCATTATTAACCATTATTAACCATTATTAACCATAGATTCACCATAGATTAACCATATATATATGCGTATTTCTAGACCAGCGATCTGCAGCTAATAGACCAGGATGGAACTGCTGGAGCCGGTCAGGGCTCGTTTTTCAGCAACCAACTCACTGATGAGTTGGAGAATTAGTAGCCGCATGGGCTGGAAACCTGTGGTTAATATTGGTTAATAGTGGTTAATAATGGTTAACAATTGGAACAATGTGATTAAAACAATGTCATCTGCACCATCCCCCAGTCATCACCATAGGTGCGATTTAAACCAACCATTCCCAGTCATGGCTAGTTTATGGCATTGTTTTAACCACAGTTTTTGGTTTTTCCCATGACAAGAAAGGAACGTTTCACGTGACGACCTGATGGTCATGCATCTGTAAACGGGTTATTTTTTTTGGGTACGGACCGACCACCTGCATCCCTTGCCATCAATTTCTGACTTGAGTTGGTCTGAAAATGGATTGAGAAAATGAGGTCTTTGATGGCCATATTGGCCATGTCTTGATTGGGAAAATGAGGTTGGAAACCATTGAATGGAATGGGGTACCCAATTTTCAGACAAAATGAAGTGAGCAGCTTCCAGAACTGACGATACTTCTCTGGATTTCATGGCACCCATATTGGTTTTCTAGAGTCAACCCTCAACTGATCAGTATCAATTTGAGTTTGTCTGAAAATATGGTACCAAAATAGGGTATCAGTCACAATTTTTCCCTATTAAAATTGCCATAAATCGGAGGTCAATTCCCCCCATTTTCAGACACACCCACTTGAAACTCCAACCAGCAACAAGCAAGAGAGGCATTGGGCATTTTCCAAACTAAACTGAAGCTTACACGGTTTAGCCATGAAAAATACCACGGTTTGCCATCCCAATGCAGTGGCAAATGGATAGGATAGGATTGTTTGATTATGGATTCTACTTATTCCATCTTCTTCCCCAAAAAAAGAACTTTGAGGCAAAACTTCGCAAAATGTCAGGTCTCAACTGGTCATTGCTCATTTGCAACGTCATTGCTTGGCAGCGAACCTTCCGCGGAGATAGCTTTGGACCTGGCGTGGGATGGCGACTTTTTTCAGCTCAGGGGATGTTGCGGGGATATCATAGGAGATACTGTATAATCCCGTGATAAGAACACATATTTGGGACCGTTGATGGAGTATTTCGTATTGGGGCACGGGTGAGGACACGCACAAAACGTCCCAGGATTCCCAGGGATCGGGGAAACAGGTACCCTGTTTGCCTAGGAATTACCAAGAAATTAATTGAAACAAAAAACGCGCAACAAGCGTTAATTGGATATAATTGGATATGAACCAACATGATATATATATATATTCTCATATACATATACACATACACATACACATACATATACATATACATATACCCACCCAACTAAATACTAAAAAATACTAAATACTAAAAAACAACCATTTTGCTAGTCCAAACAGGTACCCCCCGTGCGCAACCTATGGCGGAGTGCTTGCTGCTTCCCCTTGAAGGTGGTTCAGAGTCGCCTTCAGGTGGCCGAAGATCATGGTTAATCTATGGTTAATCTATGGTTTAATCTATGTTTTATCTATGGTTTATCTATGGTTAATCTATGGATAATCTATGGTTAATAATGGTTAATAATGGTTAATAGTGGTTAATAATGACTGGTAAAACAATGATAAGCCACCCATGACTGGCCAATCTATGGTTAATAATGGTTAATCATGGTTAATCATGGTTAATCATGGTTAATAATTGGAATAACAATACCCTGGTTAATTGATTGCTATAGGGGATCAAGAACTACCTGGTTGGGGATTATGATGAGCCCCATAGGATTGGGAAACCGTTTTCAACCAACAAACGTATTTCATGAGATGGGAAAACGGGGTATTTTTAATGGCTAAATGGGGAATATGAAGTAGTTGGTTCTCTCTTCCCCATAAAATGAAGTAGTTGGGAATAGTGATGACCAAAAAATGTGGTGACCAACCATAAAAAGTGGAGGTAGCCCAGTTTCAAACCCAGAGTGAGAGATGTCTACATTGTGTATTGAGCAACATAATTCACAGTTTGAAATAAAACTAAGGATAGCAACGGAAATAACGAACATTTTGGAATCCATGAAGCATTTTGAAGACATGATCAAACAAAATGAGAATGTCAAGAGTTAGATGAGGGTATGGCTTTGGGTCAGTCTCTCGACTCTGGGAATGATGAAATCGGCAATTGTTTGTCGTGACCTGTCCGATTCTTGGACTACTTCAATTGCCACCCTCACATGACCCACCCCCATAGGCCCTATGTTCGTTGTCATTCCCCAGATTTTCTCAGTTAAAGCCATGTAAAAGCCCAAGTTTTTGAATGTTTTCAGCCACGAAAGACCACAAAGTTCCAAGATCCAAGGAACCCATACGGCCCACAGCACCTCGGTCTTTGCCTGACACTGAGATATGGAGGTTTCCTAAGCCATGGGAATATCCCAAAAACGCTGGATGGTTTATTTCAGGGAAAATCCATCTATAAATGGATGATTTAGGGGATAGCCCCATTTTTGGAACCTTCATATGTTTGTCCATCAAAAAATGCTTGCTGTTTGTTGGCGCTTCCAAGGGCCAGAAGAGGTAATAAATGGTATTTTGGGCACTTCTGGAGGAAAAACATGAGCCACAAATGGGGATGAGCCATCTAAACCTTGGGCAATTGTGCTTCATGGAAGTAGGGGATTTCCCAATGAAATTGGCAGAAGGGACAGACTCTTTGGCAACATGATTTCTTTTTGAAGAATCCCACCCTGGAGAAAATCGGTATCCAACAAGTGGGGATTGGTGGCACATTTTTTATTCCTTAACCAAGAATACAATGACTCATAATTGGCGTCATTGGCCATTGCCCTCTGGTAAACAAACATAGCTATTGAAAATGGCCATAGAAATAGTTGATTTACCCAGCTATAAAATGGTGATTTCCCATAGTTTCTTGTATGTTTGCCAGAGGGTACGTTTTCCTGACTCCGTTGTTCTTGTAAGTTGAAATCTGGGTCGTAAGCAAAGGTGGAGGTGGAGATATGACCGCCCACCAGCCTCCCTCTGGTCCAACATAGGTCTGAAAAACCACCATTTCTAATAGGTGAACCATCTACACATGGACCATCTTCCATAAACCAGATCCATCAACATCTATAAACCATTGCCAACCTTGGATACCCTACAAAAAAATGAAAAATCTTAGCTGGTTTTTACGTAGATATTCCTATTGAAATCGCATTTCGATGAAAGGATGAGTTTCGAGCCATCCAGTTGCTTCACCTAGAAACCATCCATCATCCATCCATAAAGATTCATCAACATCCAAAAAACCATCAATTTCACCCAATTTCAGATTCCCAAAGGCTACCAGAAAAAACGGTAAGCCAAGCCCAGGCTGGAGCCCACCTGTCAGAGAGCTTCGGCCTGGAACAGGTGGCTGCAAAAAATGATTAATATGGGGATCAATATGATTAATGATGACTAATAATAATTAATGATTAGTAATGGGGGTATACCCCAAAAACGCTGGATGGTTTATTTCATGGAAGATACTATTGAGATTAAAATAGATGATTTAGGGGTACCCCCATTTTAGGAAACCCCATGTTATTAGATCATATAAAAATACACATGTTGTTCATATTTACCAGCGATATGTTTCATAAGTAATGATATCTATATTCAAAGTTGCTGGAACTAGAATACCCCGAAATGTCTTGCCATGATGAGTTTGAAAGAGAGCACAAGTTTCCACGTGAGACCAAATATCTCTTCGTGATACCAGTTAGGTCCATTAAAAATCATTAAACCATATTAAAGTCCCCAAGTTATTTAGCATGAATCTAACGTTTCCTTCTGGACACTGTGCATCCTTTGTGGTGAAAAACCACCACCTCTCCTTCCACTCTCGTTGATCCCGTCCTGAGTTCAGCTTCGATGCATTGGCCGACATCAACTTGGAGCTTTGTCGGGAGCTGCTGACGCTTGGGGCGCCTAACGGTTGCAGGTCTGTTGGGGGATCTTGGTGTGTCCCCTAATGAGGTAAACCCAATTACCCTCTGGTAAACATACAAAAAGCTATGGAAAGCTCCACCATTTTTCATGGGAAAACTCACTATTTCTATGGCCATTTTCAATAGCTATGTTAAATTACCAGAGGGTATAGGGTGAACAATGGGATGTAGTAAGATAATTGACTTATCCGCATCAGTCCACTACCTCCATACCAGGAGAAGAGGGGTCACTCCACTTCTCCTTTACGCACTTCGCCCACCAACACCCAAATACAATGAAGAAAAAAACACATAGGCCCCAGTGTTGGTTGCTTCAAATCCCAAATGAGAAATTGATAAATATCCGTAAAGGATCTCTACTCCTTGGTTGATAGGTACCCCCATGGTGGGTTACATAGTGCACAATGCCCAATAAACAAGTTACTCTAACAACCCCATATAACCCACCAACAACAATTTCTGGATCATGTACCATGTTTGATGATAAAAACCCATAGTTGGTGGTTAATTCCCAAGTGTGTTGGTGAAATAACATGTTTTTTTGTTACACATCATTTTTCGTGATTGAAACCACATTATGAATCAACCAAAAGGGATTCGTTACGTACTTCCCAAATATTGTTGATAGTTTGAACCTCATAAAACCTTATGATTGATAGTGAAGTTCCATAAACCTCCTATTTTCATCTATTTTCATGGCTCGATGTCGCAACCCCCCCGCCTGCTGCCAAGCGCTTACTGCTCTGCCGCGACTGGGCGGCCGAAGCATGACCGCTGCGGCCATCACCTCGCAAGCTCTGAAGAAAAAAAAGACGTCACCGGGAAAGCGGTGACAAAACAAAATGAGGGTGTAACCATCGAGTATGGGGGAGTTATAAGGTTTGAAGTTTGAACTATCAAGAAATATGGATTTTAATTGAGAAATGATGGTTTTTCTGTGTTATTTATGATTATCTGGCCATCAAAACTTGGGATTTCAACTTCAAATATGGGTTTTCAACAGCAATGTTGCTTGTGTTCATGGGGATGTGCCAGTGTGCCGTTGTGTGCCATGGTCAAATTTCACATGGGATCAATTCGGTGTGGTCATCCAAAAAAAATTGGCCATAGAGAATTCGGCAAAAAAAAAATTGGCCAGTTGGGACTTCCTTTTGTTCGTGGTAGTAGCAGCTGGTACTAACTTTTAGCCATCCAAAATATGGTGAAAAATGGGGTACTTTGTGATGATCATCCTAGTTGTTTTTGATCCAACTTTTGGCCGAAAAACATGAGAAAGGAAGCCATGATGGCACCGACCCAGTGGCAGATGAGCTGACTACATCATTGATATCCACATATTCTGCTTCGTGAGACTCCCAATTGAATGGCGTTTCATCACCGAAAGGGGAGAACACGGCAAAATTGATGGATAAATCAGCCAACAAGTGGGGTCAAACCAATGGTAATGAGGTAAAACCAAAGAAGGGGGATACAGCCCGTACTATGCTGGTGATGGTACAGCTCAACGAAAAGGAGGATTGCGATCAATACTTGTGGGGATAGCAAGAATCAAGCGGAAAAAAACGGTTCTTTTCGTACAGAAATTGTGATAGCCAAGCTTGGGTCTTGATGTCTCTCAGTCGATTGCTCGCGTCCTATTCGTTCCACTGGTAGGTTGATAGGGATTCTACAATGTGAGGCCCCCAAGATAGCTAAGTTGGTTTATAACTCCAATAACTATGGTTTATGGTACTTATAACTATAGTTACTGGGGCTTATAAACCAACTAACATCACTGGGGGGCCTCACATTGTAGTCATGATTTGGATGTCTCAAAAATATGGTAATGGCCGTTCTGATGGAGAAACATGATGACGAATCAATAGGCTTTTTGGGGGGGTTCCCAACATTTTCAGGTAACCAAACCCATTTCTTGCAATTCCTCTGAAATTGGGCAGTCAACTACAGTAATGGGTTGCAATCCCATCAACAAATGGCTTTGGTGAAACATCAACCAGATTTTTTTTTCTCTCCCAAGGTTCCTGAAGCATCAACCATGGTCAACTGCGCGCGCCACCTTGTCTGCTGGCGCTCAGGTCCGACGTCAACAAACTCTGTCGAAGTTCCTGGCGATCTCTGATGCGGATGGGGGAAAAAATTCGCATCAGCATGTGGATGCACAGTGACCAAATGATCATCATAAACCATGACAATGATAAACCAATAACCAAGAAAAAACCATAGACAATGACATTGATAAAGAAAAATAAGCTAAGCATATGCAGAATCCCATTGGTTTATGACAATGATAAACAATGATTGATTTACCATAAACACTGACGTTGACTGTGATAAACCGATAAACCATAAAACTGAGCTAAACATGTGCAAAATCCCAACGTATTCCCAACTTATCATGGTTTAATCTACAGTACCTAAGTCCCAGATTTTCACCAACCAAATGCTTAAATCATTTTTTTTAATATATATATATATTATATATATATATGGTGAATTCTGGCTAAAACTTAATGCCATATGTTCGCATCATCATGGAATCTACGCCCAATTCGAAGCGCGCAGGCCTCGATTCTCAGCTGTTCCTCAGCGGTGCTGTGCATCTGCAAAGTCAGCTCCACGGTAGAGGGATCCAGCCAGGGATCCTGGCACCATCAAAAGGATGGGGAATCCATGGGGTTATGAGAATATATATATACTAGTGTGTGTATATATATATTTATATATATATGTATTAGTATGTATATAATTGTATATATATATAAGATTAGTATTAGTATATATATATGTGTGTAGCAAGCCCCGGTTTAATAAGAAAACATCCTATAAGGACACATCCTTTTTTCGCGCCATGTCCACCTCGGTCATTACTTTGGATTCCCGTACGAGATCAACCTTTACTTGATCCACCTATCCATCTATCCATCTAATTAATCAATTAATCTAATCTTATCTTAGTCTTATCTTAGTCTTATCTTAGATCTTAGTCTTATCTTAGTCTTATCTTAGTCTTATCTTAGTCTTATCTTAGTCTTATCTTAGTCGTATCTTAGTCTTATCTTAGTCTTGTCTTAGTCTTATCTTATCTATCGATCTATCTACAACTCTCTAACTCTACCTATATCTGTCTCCATGATCAGCGGTCCGGAAGTGGACGATCATAAGGCGGTCTTGCGTTGCCCAAGCTCTTGGGCTACTTGTCCCGTTTGTATGCTAAATAGATTCATTTATTTGTAGATCCATCCAGCTATTCAGCTATTCATCTATTCATTCATTGATCTATTCAGCTATTCATCTACTCATCCATTCATCTATTCATTTATCCATCTGTTCATCTATTCATCTGTTATCATCTGTTATGTACGTATTGATAGTGTGTGTGTATGTTTATTCAAGTGCAGATAATGTGCACCCAGAGATTTGAATGTGGCCGACACTTGAAAATACGAAATGTGGACTCTCCGAAGCATAACATAACTTATAGTAAACATACGAGTTTATACACAGGCGGGGTCAAGTTTGCAAAATGGTACTTTGTGTCCAATGTGTTCTTCTTATTCAGATATATGCTGATATAGCATGCTGTCCCGAAAATCAAAATCAACACGGACACCGACAAAGGGTGCGTGGACAAAATGTTTTCCAATTGGACATGGCGATTGTTGGGCTCCGCATCAAGTTTTTTGGGGCAAACTAAGTTCACACACATTCATATCCATCTCAGATATCTTTCATAGGTAAAGCAACGAACTAAATGGGCCATCTATACAATACTGGTTGGTGGTTTCAACCCCTCTGAAAATATGAAAGTCAGTTGGGATCATTATTCCCAACTGAATGGAAAGTCATAAAATTCATGTTCCAAACCACCAACCAGAATAGCTATGATAAATTATCAGAGGGTAAATAACGTAGACCATCTCAGCCCATCCAGTCGGTTTCTGCAGTTAGTGAAATCCCCTTTTTGTTGATCGTCCAAATGTCTCAAACTATAGGCTACAACTATAATCTCTCCATAGATACATAATATCTCATGATATCCCCATTATACCAGGGTTTTTGGTGGCCAAATCACAGTTTTCATGGTTAAATCCCACATGCCTTACGAAAACAGCTTCAAAATTTAACTGGCTTCCGCTACCCTCTGGTAAACGTTTACATAACTATGGAAAATCACCATTTTTTATGGGTAAATCCACTATAAATTGCAATTTTCGATAGCTTTGTTTCCCAGAGGCTAAGCCTTGGAGGATCATCCCTGGTGCTTTTCGGCATTCGGCGAAGCGGTTTTCGTCCGGTGGTCTCATCAAAGGCAAGTGAAACCGTCATGGGGGTACACCCCCAGTCATCCATTTATACCCGGCCTTGTAAACTTACAAAAAGCTATTGAAAATGGCAATAGAAATAGTGGATTTACCCAGCTATAAAATGGTGATTTTCCATGGTTTTTTGTATGTTTACCAGAGGGTAGATAGGATTTTCCATGAAATAAGTCATCCATTTTTGTTCGGAAATTCCATTGACTTAATAGGTGTCATGGGGGTTTCCATATGGGTTTCCAATCCATAGGAGTACCCCCAGTCATCATCCAGCCTCAAGTGGATCACCTTTGCCGTTCCAGCGTCCCTTGCTGCAGAAGGTGTCGTAACCTGCGGCAACAATTTGTGGCCAAAAAAAAAAAAGGTTTTATACAACCTGGCTGACTAGGAAAATCCCCTGTAAATGGATGTCTTTCAACGGAAAAGTCCACCAAAAAAACTACTATGGAGGATTTTCCATTGCCATGTTTGACCAGAAAGTAATAATTACTGGTGTATAGTGCTGAGATCATGGAATATCATGGAATATGTTTATGGGATATGAATGAAATCTTGGTTCATAGCGGTAATCAAAAATGGCTGACTCGAGTTTCCCCCCGAAATATCCTGATTTCGGGATCCCAGTAACTCACCCAAAGACCGCTTTTTTTTTTAGCCGTAACACTGCAACCAGCAGGAAGTTTTCTGGGTGAAAAAACCAGTTAGATCAATGGAATATCTCTAATTATGGGATAAAATATGGCGTATATCTGGAATATATTTCATTGGGATGCACATATTTGCAAATATATCTGGATATATGGATATATCACTGGAAAAAAATATCTGGATTATAACATTCAAATATATCTGGATTATAACTCACTTATATTATAAACCACGGATCTGGGATGCACATCCAGCCGTAGATTTCAGGACTTCGATGGAGGGACTTCGGAAGCTGGGCTTTGTGGCTTCCGGATTTACCTACAATACTTGGGTTGCAGTTGCGGCCAACTAACTAACTAACTATATATATATATGTATATGTACAAGTATATATGAATGTACAAGTATATATATATATATTGTAAGATTTTATAGGTATAGTTGTATATATACATATAACCATATTTCTAGGTGCTTTATACTAAGATATGGGGATTTCTTTGCCAGCCAGGGAACAATCGCGCATCATCTCCAAGCGTTGCTTGAAGCTATCCACCCTGGGCTACAAGTAGTGATGATCATATTTTTCTCCTAGTCAGGGTAGTATAATGATAGTCACAATCTGTATATATATATATATTGATATGTTTTTTTAATGATATATATATATATATGGTGTATATATATATATGATATATGATATATGATATATATGTATATATATATATATTTACATATGATATATGATATATATATATATATATTTACATATGATATATGATATATATATATGATATATGATATATATATGATATAATATATATATGATATATGATATATATATATATGATATAAATATATATATATCACATATATATATATCACATATATATATATATATCACATATATATATATATATATCACATATATATATATATATATATCACATACATATATACTGTATGTGCGTACTATAAACATATAATAGTGATAGTGATAGTGATAGTGATAGTGAGGAGGAGGATGATGAACATGAAAATGATGCTTATTATTGTTAATATCTAATACTATTATTATATTTAATGGTTTTATCTTACGGATAAAAATGATGTTTGCTCCCCATCATCAACAACCAGTTGTTTTCTTGGGTCCAAAAACCAGCTGTTTAATTGTGTTTGGTGGTGTTTAATGATGTTCAATAGTGCTTAATCGTGTTTCACGGACCTACAGGGTCTGTCCAAAAACGAGTTTTAGCAGCCAAATCACACTGTTCTTAGGATTCTCGCCACATGAGCCATGAAAACTACGCCCCTATCCTATCCCATGATACTGGTTGGTAAATAGACATCCCGCTAAGTATGCGTTATGTCATAATGCCAAACGAACCAGGTAACTTAGTATGACACCCAATTTTACGGTGACCTATCAACCATCTTAAATTCTATACCCGTGTCGAATGCTTAAAACATCATTTAGAAAAAATGTTTGGTGGTCATAAGCCCACATATTCATTTTTTTCACCATATATCATATATCTCCCAGTTTCTCATGGTTTCAATCCTATGTTGGCTAGTGAAATCCCCATCAACGGTGAAAGTCTCCCCATCAACGGTGTCTGGCGTCTGTATTTAGTTCACCAAAGGGACGTCCAATAGGAGAGGACGCTCGCTTCAGAACCTGAAGCTTGGAGAAACAGGCCACTTTGATCACTTTCATGGGCTTCAATAGGTTTGAACCGGGTTTCATGGGTTTTTATCTCGTTTAATGGGCTTTTATGTGGTTAGGTTGATGGAGAATTCATGGGTTTTTGGGGTTGACATTGATTTGCAGTTCTACTGGCGAGATCATGGGGATTTTTTCGGACTTTTTTCGAGAGATAACTGGAGTTGGGAATATCATGGGATACATGAATCACCATTGATCACCATTGATCACCACTGATCACCATTAATCACCATTAATCACCATCAATCACCATTAATCACCATCAATCACCCAGCCAACAGCCACTAAAAGCGGTGTCACCATGGCAATGCCACCGATGAGACGAGTCGGCAGTTTGGGTGTGGGTCTCTCCAAAGCCATTGGAGTCGAGATCAGTTGGTGCCCATTTTTTCGGAAAGGAAAAAAACGGCGATGACTAATACCATCTGGTTATTTAACATAGCCATGGAAAGATCCACCCATTTTTAATAGGTAAACCATCTATTTCTATGGGCCATCTATACCATGGCTATGTTAAATAACCAGAGGGTATATGTGAGGAAAATGTTACATGGTGTTTCTAAGAAACTGGTGGTTGAGCTACCCCTCTGAAACATATGAAAGTCAGTTGGGGCTGTTATTCCCAATATTATATGGAAAAATAAAAAATGATCCAAACCACCAACCAGGAAAAAATATCAATAAAAACATTGGGATATCCTATCTTTGGAGATACCCAGATGGATTCACAGCAAATAAAACCATGGAAAAAACCATCGTGAATTTCTCTTTGGATCCCCGAAAACCATGGGCCGGGTATCATTGGGCATACGCCCCCGAAAATATCCGAAAAATTGAGGGAGTGTGAAAATTACTGGCTTTATCTCATCACTTTTACCATCATTTCACGGACTTTTTGTTGCTGTTCGGTCACTTTTTTACTTGTTCAGAGGAGAATCATGGGGTGTAGAAACCCAGCTTCCATTCATCCTCACATCCCGTGGGTAATAAAAAACCAACCACCTAAATTTTGAGTCGCTGCGCCAAGAAACCATCTGCACTCCATTGAGTGATGCGGATAATGATAATATCTGAAACCTCATCACGGCTGGCACCAAGATGCCAAATGAATATCTCGGGCGGGCCAAAAAAACCGAGGAGAAACTCGCAAAGCTGAACTGGTCGCCCTGAATGTCCTGAGTAAACTAGTCCAATAAATATAGATTCAGATGTTTCACCAACCATCAACAAATAAGACAACTGATGACATTCCCATAAGTGCAAGCTTATTTTTCACCCACAAGAAATGGACAACAACAATTCCCAAACCACATGTGTGTGTCTTGGTGGTCAGGTATAAAATCACTGAGACCCATGTTGGTTCAACAGCTGTTCATTCCCAGGATCGAAATGGAGGCTGGGTTACTAAGTGGTTGAACCCCGAACAAATATGGAGGTTTCCATAGTCATGGGGGATCTCCAAAATGGATGGTTTATTTCATGGAAAATCCTATTAGAATGGATGATTTAGGGGTACCCCCAAGACTTAGGAAACCTCCATTTGAAGCATCCCAGGCTAGTGGGCCACCATCGGAAACTCCAAGCAGCATGACGATGGATGTCCCACACCAGTTCCACCTCGAATTTCAGGCGATCCTGCGACACCAAGGCAGCTCGAAAAAGCGAGCTGAAGTCGACATCGCTTCAGTCACTGATTTTGTTTCAGTTCAGTCGTCACTGATGGAAATCCATAAGATATCCATATCCATAAGATATCCATAGGATATCCATAGCATAACCATGTTTTTTTGTTCCTAAAGTCCGACCGTCTGTGTTGTGAATGACTCGGAGGATCAAAATGTTGCGATGTCCCACCATTTTTTCCCAAAAATCTGTCAATTCCTTAAAGGATCACCACAAAAAAAAGTGCTTTGAAAAGCTGAGGCAGTCACTATTTGCTGGGATAACTCTGGGGGAAACATACAAAAACCGTTGTGTGATTGACCTATATATACATATATATATATATGTGTGTGTGTGTGTGGGCTTGTAGAACCTATATATATATACATAATAAAGGCCATACGTAGAACTCATAAACTTAGAAAAACAAACAATGTATGTATATGTAATGTCGAATATATCTAATCCATATAAAAGCTAGATAGAGCTTTCCAAAGCCATCAAAAACCATTAATCCAACTGGGGAGTCTTCGATCACATGGCACCAATAAATCATCGCTCCTCAGGGCGAAGTTCCTTCGTAATGTCATTGGCCTCGTCCACCAGATACGCGGCCTGAATCGTCATCGTCATCATCTATTAATAACCATTAATAACCATTAATAACCATTAATAACCATTAATAACCATTAATAACCATTAATAACCATTAACAACCATTAATAACCATTAACAACCATTAATAACCATAAATAACCATAAATAACCATTAACAACCATTAATAACCATTAATAACCATTAACAACCATTGATAACCATTAATAACCATTAATAACCATTAATAACCATTGATAACCATTAATAACCATTAATAACCATTAACAACCATTGATAACCATTAATAACCATTAATAACCATTGATAACCATTAATAACCATTAATAACCATCAATAACCATTAACAACCATTGATAACCATTAATAACCATTAATAACCATTAATAACCATTAATAACCATTAATAACCATTAATAACCATTAATAACCATTGATAACCATTAATAACCATTGATAACCATTAATAACCATTAACAACCATTAATAACCATTAATAACCATTAATAGCCATTAATAACCATTAATAACCATTAATAACCATTGATAACCATTAATAACCATTAATAACCATTAGTTAACATTACTAAACCACTACCATCATCATCATTTTCGCAAAGGGATCTTTGTGGACACTGAACGTGCCTTGCTGACGTAGTAGAAAAACTGGTTGCCACGTTCCTCTCCAAGACGTTCCCAGAGATCCCCCAAATACAATCGGAGTTCGCTCCTGGAGGCGGTTGGTTGATCGCTTGAAGTTTGGGTCGTCACAGGTGGAGCATTTTTGATGACGAGCTGGTCACAGCTGCTGATTTGAAGCAAAAAGCTATTGAAAATGGTGATTTATAGTGGGTTTACCTATTAAAAATGGTGATTTTCGATATACCATCTGGTTATGACTAACAGTTTGCCATGGAAAGATCCACCCATGCTATTAATAGGTAAAGCATCTATTTCTATGGGCCATCTATACCATGGCTATGATAAATAACCAGAGGGTAATTCTGGTGAATCTTTTTGCACAAGCAGGGATTGAAAGTTGTAAGCGCTTGAAATCACCAACCAAGATGATATGTTTCTGAAATAGCTAAGTAGCTGAGGTTTTGAATTTTTGGTCTTTGCCTTTTGCTGAACACTTCAAGCACAATGCGATTTACAATAACAATCTACCAGGTTAGTGTCTCCTTTCAAGGGATATATCACACCCTTCTGGATTGCTTCACCGTTCACAGACCTAACCTAAGCATGACCCTCACCAAGTCTTACACATCCAGCATTAGTGTGGTTTTTACACTTGAAACCTGCCTTTTTGGACATTGTTCCCTTCATCAATCAAATTTTCTAACCACCGCAGCAGGTTGGCCCCCAGCGCACCATGCTTCACTCTCATCATTCAGAATGAGTTTCATGGTGTCGCGCTTCAGCATGCTGCGCTTCTTCAGGACCTGGCGTGGAAACGCCACGCCATGTCCGGCGAAAGCAAGGAAAATTGGGAGTCCACCAGAAGAACACCAGAAGAACTGTAGACATAGTTGTGAAACCCTTGTAATCAGGTGTATATATATATATAACAGTTTAGGATCATTCCATTGCAGTTTCGCCATAAACCCATGGTGAGTGCGGGATTTTGCCAGGGGTTTTTTGATGTCTGATTACCAGATGGTATTGACCCATTTTACATATCCCATCAATATTCCATTATTTTCCATCATCATTTGTTGCATACCATTAATATCAATTAATATCCATTAATATCCCATAGTGAACGCCGCCCCAAAACCTCCGCTGCCGTGTTTCTGTCCCAGTGATTAATACCCCACTTTTAACTGGCCACTCTCATGTGCAGCAGATGTGTTCAACATGAATCACCACACATACACACAACCAGAGTACATCACCAACAAACACCATCATGATGTGTTCATCAAAAACTAATTGCATACCAACGTGGTAAGGCCAACAATCAACCATCACCCAATATCACCACAAATGGCCGGTCAAAATCATCCTCAAATGGTACCACCCTCCCCCAGGCATCCGAACGGGCGAAACTGCAGCCTGCGAAGTCCGGGATTACTTTGATGTTCCAGGGTTTTTTGTTCCAATAAATGACTGACAGTAGTTGATACTCGTAGCAATTCATAGTGGATATAAAAATGATACTAGTAGCAATTTATAGTGTATCTATCTATCTACCAATCCACCTATCTACCTATCTACCTATCTACCTATCTACCTATCTACCTATCTACCTGGCTACCTATCTACCTATCTACCTATCTACCTGGCTACCTATCTACCTAGCTGCCTATCCACCTGTCTACCTGTCTACCTACCTACCTATCTACCTACCTATCTACCCATCTACCCATCTATCTATTCATCTATCTATCCATCTATCTATCCATCTATCTATCCATCTATCTACCCATCTATCTCTCCATCTATCTATCCATCTATCTATCCATCTATCCATCCATCTATCTACCTATCTACCTATCTACCTAGCTACCTATCCACCTGTCTACCTGTCTACCTGTCTACCTACCTACGTACCTACCTACCTACCTACCTACCTACCTACCTATCTATCTATCTTTCTTTCTTTCTTTCTATCTATCTCATTGAAAAACTTATCCCCCCGTTCATATTAAGCACATCCAATAGCTGGGCAGGTTGAAAGACCCATACCTAGATATAAATTTAATGGTTTCAAGTCACCTGATAGCATGTCAGTTGGAATTGTCATTTGGGGGTTTCTTAAAATGCTGGTACCCCAGGAGTTGGATGGTTTATAATTGAAAATCCTATTGAAATCAGATGATGATTGGGGGTACCCCTATTTCAGGAAACCACCATGTGAGGTCATCAATGATAGAAATCACTAAGTCTGCAACCTATCAGAAGGTCAATGATTGCCAATGTCTGATGGTGCCTTGGAACTTGGATAAAAATATTCTGGTATTCCTGGCTTACAAGTTGCACTAATAGGGGGGCTTTAAAGCATGAACTATCAAAATTCTGTATCTACGCCCTGGAAAACAACATGGAACTCAACAAGAAGAAATTGAATCAAACTTGTTCATCATGTGGTTGGGAAACTCGTAGGAATCCCTTGTCCCCCCATTTAGTAAAGCATATGTATACCCCACAACTTGTCAGTTCCTTGCTAACCATCGGAGAGATGCACATCGGAAACCGCTAAGGTGCACCAGCCGTGGCAGGAGAAAATATCCTATTTCGACATAAACCATACCCATATATATATAAATAAATAAATAAATAAAATAAAGAAAGAAAGAAAGAAAGAAATATATATATATACACATATCATGTACCAGTAGTATCCGCACGAGGCGGGGCGGAAGTTGCCTTAGGGAGATACTATAAGACCTTTCTCATCTATAGAACTTGCATGCGCTGTGCGCCAGCCAGGCCCGTGCGTGCGTGCATTCTGCGAAAGTGGTGTCCTGTTTCACATGTCACATTGGAAGCTCCACTTCGCACTTCACACTTCTCTGCACTCTTCACACTCCACACTTCACACTCCACACTCCACACTTCACACTGCACTCTTCGCACTCCACACTTCACTTCACACTGCACTCTTAAGACTCCAAACTTCACACTTCAAACTCCACACTTCACACTTCAGACTTCACTCTCCACACTTCACACTTCTCACTGCCCCTTCACACTCCACACTTCACACTTCACACTCCACACTTCACCCTTCACTCTTCACACTGCACTCTTCATGCCCCGCACTTCACACTGCACTCTTCACACTCCACACTTCACACTCCACACTTCCTCTCATCTGAGCTCTTCTCACCTTATCCCAGCTCATCTCTTCTCATCTCATCTCTTCTCATATGTCATCTAAGCTTTCATGAATCACTTCCCAGTACTACTTTGAGAACTTGCATGTGCCGTGCGCCAGCCAGGCCCGTGCGTGCGTGCTTTGCGAAGCTGTTGCACAGATGTTGTCCAAGAACATGACCTGCGCGCGGACCCGGCGCAATGCAACGCCGAGCGAATGCTTTCCGCACGCTTCGCACTGCACTCTTCGCACTTCACACTCCACACTTCACACTTGCACTTCACACTCCACACTTCATCTCATCTCAAAGCATGTGAGCTCTTCTCACCTCATCTCAGCTCTTCTCATCTCATCCCATCTCCTCTCACATGTAATCTAAGAAAGTTCTTCTCCACCGTTTTCATCTCATTCGAAACACTGATCAACCTTTCTCATCTCCTCGAAGTTGTTCTCAACTCATCTCAGGAAGGACCCCCAGAAAGTCAAATCTTTTACACATATCAAATCTTCCAACTCCTTCCACTTGCCCTTTTCTTGCTCATTTAATCTCTCATGTGGATGCTTGGTCACAAAACCTCAACAAACGCCTCCCCAAGCAGGATTATTTTGAGCAACATAACTCAAGCAAAGCTCCCTCCATGTCGCTCTTCGCAAACCACTTCCCAGTACTACTTTGTACTACAACGCTTGCACAAAGCACGTTCCAGTACTACTTTGTACTACAAAGCTTGCGCAAAGCACGTTCCAAGTACTACTTTGTACTACAAAGCTTGCACAAAGTACTTCCCAGTACTACTGTGTACTACAAAGCTTGCAAAAAGTACTTCCCAGTACTACTTTGTACTACAATCAAAGCTTGCACAAATTATTTCTACTTTGTACTACAAAGCTTGCACAAAGCACGTTCCATGTACTACTTTGTACTACAAAGCTTGCACAAAGTACTTCCCACACAAAGCTTGCACCCAGTACTACTTTGTACTACAAAGCTTGCAAAAAGTACTTCCCAGTACTACTTTGTACTACGAAGCTTGTGCAAAGCACTTCCCAGTACTACTTTGTACTACGAAGCTTGCACAAAGTACGTCCAAGTACTACTTTGTGATACAAAGCTTGCACAAAGAATGATTTTACACACAGCAAGTTCTTTCGCAGAGAAGCTTTTACACACAGCGAGCTTTTTAAACAGAGAAGCTTTTACACACAGAAGCTTTTACACACAACAAGCTTTTACACACAACAAGCTTTTACACACAGCAAGCTTTTAGACACAGCAAGCATTTACACACAGAACACTTACACACAGTGCTTTCACACATGCCCACGCCATTAAACACACAAAAAACTTTTACACCAGATGACAACAATCATGCAGCCATTCCAATGCGATCTGCAACCACGGATTCCAAAACACCTCTATAAGTACCCACGCACAAGCACACCCAAAGCAGCTTGAAGCCACCGTTACAATGCGGCAAAAAAAAAGGCAAACCGACCGCAGCCGCACCCGCCGCACACAGGAGGTACCTTTCATCGCCGCCTGCAGCCACTTTACATAGAAAAATTCAAAGTTTCGTGCTCCGGCTTCCTCCCCAAAACAAAGCACATGCAACAGCCATTACACTGCGTTACGCAGCATCACGTCGCAAACCTGCACGTATCTACGCACATGGCAGCACCAGATGACAACAATCATGCAGCCATTCCAATGCGATCTGCAACCACAGATTCCAAAACACCTTTATAAGTACGCACGCACAAGCACACCCAAAGCAGCTTGAAGCCACCGTTACAATGCGGCAAAAAAAAAAGGCAAACCGACCGCAGCCGCACCCGCCGCACACAGGAGGTACCTTTCATCGCCGCCTGCAGCCAATTTACACGGAAAAATACAAAGTTTCGTGCTCCGGCTTCCTCCCCAAAACAAAGCCCGTGCAACATTCATGCCCCCATTACAATGCGTTACACGGCATCACGTCGCAAACCTGCACGTATCTACGCACATGGCAACACCAGATGACAACAATCATGCAGCCATTCCAATGCGATCTGCAACCACAGATTCCAAAACACCTTTATAAGTACGCACGCACAAGCACACCCAAAGCAGCTTGAAGCCACCGTTACAATGCGGCAAAAAAAAAGGCAAACCGACCGCAGCCGCACCCGCCGCACACAGGAGGTACCTTTCATCGCCGCCTGCAGCCAATTTACACGGAAAAATACAAAGTTTCGTGCTCCGGCTTCCTCCCCAAAACAAAGCCCGTGCAACATTCACGCCCCCATTACAATGCGTTACACGGCATCACGTCGCAAACCTGCACGTATCTACGCACATGGCAACACCAGATGACAACAATCATGCAGCCATTCCAATGCGATCTGCAACCACAGATTCCAAAACACCTCTATAAGTACCCACGCACAAGCACACCCAAAGCAGCTTGAAGCCACCGTTACAATGCGGCAAAAAAAAAAGGCAAACCGACCGCAGCCGCAACCGCCGCACACAGGAGGTACCTTTCATCGCCGGCTGCAGCCATTTTACACGGAAAAATACAAAGTTTCGTGCTCCGGCTTCCTCCCCCAAAACAAAGCCCATGCAATATTCATTCAGCCATTACAATGTGTTTCGCAGCATTCCCTTCATCACCAGTTCCCTTCGTCACCACTTCCCTTCGTCACCACTTCCCTTCGTCACCACAGTCCCTTCGTCACCACTTCCCTTCGTCACCACAGTCCCTTCGTCACCACTTCCCTTCGTCACCACTTCCCTTAGTCAATTGTTATGTAGTGTACAGTCGCACACCGCCCTTCATCAAGGTCAATTCTTTTCTGATGTATTGTTATGTAGTGTACAGTCGCACACCACCCTTCATCAAGGTCAATTCTTGTCTGATGTATTGTTATGTAGTGTAAAGTCGTACACCACCCTTCATCAAGGAATTTCTTTTCTGATGTATTGTTATGTAGTGTAAAGTCGTACACCACCCTTCATCAAGGTCAATTCTTTTCTGATGATTGTTATGTAGTGTACAGTCGCACACCACCCTTTATCAAGGTCAATTCTTGTCTGATGTATTGTTATGTAGTGTAAAGTCGTACACCACCCTTCATCAAGGTCAATTCTTTTCTGATGTATTGTTATGTAGTGTACAGTCGCACACCACCCTTCATCAAGGTCAATTCTTGTCTGATGTATTGTTATGTAGTGTAAAGTCGTACACCACCCTTCATCAAGGTCAATTCTTTTCTGATGTATTGTTATGTAGTGTACAGTCGCACACCACCCTTCATCAGGTAAAAGTCATCCGTAACTCGGAAGTATTTTTCCCAACTTCCTTTGATAACTAATGTATAACCATAGTATTATGACAACCATGATAATCATATAACCATAGTATAACCATAGTATATAACCATAGTGGATTTACCCATTAAAAATGGTGATTTTCCATAGTTTTTTGTATGTTTACCATAGTATTAATTCCCACGGTTGTTATGGACCTCGTGATCGGTGCACCTCGGAGGTGTCCGAATCCGAGTTGGACAGGGATTTGTTGGCCGCCAAGTCCTGCCGATTTCGATGAGAGAAATCCCTGATGCAAAACGAAAAAAAATGGTAAAATATATAAAATCGTATGTTTGATTTTAATACTATCCTATAAAGATATTTTTAATTGGGATAATTGGGATAATTGGGATTCATGGTGGAAAAAAAACGACATTTTTTTCAAAATGATCGTGGTTTTCATATAAATAGTAATGACATTTTTTTAAAATCACTATATGAAAAATGATCTAAAAATGAAAGATCACTATCTGATGAATTTATACCTTATGAAAGATGGTGATCTTCCATATGTTCCATAGTTCTATAGAGGCTATATCCCAACTTCTGGTGAAAAAACAGAGAAACATAGCCTAAGTTATAGTTATAGCCATATGTTGGGAAAACCCAGTTGGGGGGTTCTTTTTTGTCATGCCCAGTCGTCACCGTCGTCACCATGGTTGTAACGAAAAATGGTATCCATGGGATGACCAACTTGTTCCGCCTAGAGATAGGTAGATATGATACGTAGGCAGGTGGGTAAGTAGGTCGGTCAGTCGGTCGGTCGGTCCGTCCGTCCGTAGGTAGGTAGGTAGGTAAGTATGCATAGTTATCATGTATGATTATATATGTTACGTACGTACGTACCTACATACGTACGCATGCATGCATGCATAACCTTTATATCTATATATGTGTGTTGTTGCCGAAATATCTAGGAACGTTGCTGCGTCGACTCATACATGGGTTTAATGTGTATATATATACTGTTGCATTATATACCTGGTTGGTGATTTCAACCCCTCTGAAAAATATGAGTCAGCTGGGATGATTCTTCCCAATATATGGGAAAATTTACCAAATGTTCCAAAGCACCAGTCAGATCAACTATGAAAAACCATCATTCTTATCATGGGTACATCCACTATAAATGGGTACCCTCTGGTAAACTAACATAGCTATTGAATATGGCCATTTATAGTGAGTTTTCCCATTAAAAATGGTGATTTTCCATAGCTATGTTAGTTTACCAGAGGGTAGGGTTTCCCAATTCTTCCCCCTTTTTTCCATGGAAAAATTATCCGCTCCTGCTGCTCCAAAGGCACCACGAGTCGCATCATCCAGGCGCGGCCGAAGAGTAAGCGATCAAAGTGAGTCAACCTGCGAAATGTTAAGGAAATCTCAGGGCGATATGATATGGTAATAACCATCATAAAAGATCATGGAAATCTCAGGTTTATTAGAATCTCAAGGTTATTAGAAATCTCAGGGTTATTGATAAAATGTTGATAAGTTATGGTCATTGACGTAGAAATGTTGATAAATCATCATTCTTATCAATATTATGTAACAACTACAAATGGTAGAAATAAGACATATAGTGGCTTCTACCCCCATTTCAGGAAACCTTCATATTAGAAGTCAGGATTATCTTTGAAATAATGGTCATGAATCATTAACATTATTGTTTCCAATCGTCTTAGGGAATGTTTATGACAATTACGGAACAATAGTACTTTTGACACCTAACGGTACAAAAGCTCCAACACTGATCATTGGGAAATATGAAAGAATTTGGGGGATGTGATTAACTAAATATGCTACAAAATGGTTATATAATAGGGTTCTCATATGTCTTTTTTCAAGGGTGCCATATGGAGTTCTATCAACGTGTTCCATGGTTTATGGAGGAACGCGAAAATGGGTTATCCATCCCAAATTGGAACATGCGGTGGAAGTGGCGGTGTCCGATTCGTCATAGGGGTACCCCCAGAGATCATCCCTTGACAGATTGAGATTTTCCATGAAATCAACAAAAACCAGCGTGCGTTTTTGGGGTACCCTCTGGTGATGTCAACAGTTTGCTATTGAAAATGGCCATTGAAATAGTGAGTTTTCCCATTAAAAAAGGTGATTTTCCATAGTTATTAAGTTATGTTAGTATGACTATGGAAACCCATTGCTAAATCAAATCTTATGGCCTCCAGGACCCTGGCTGTAGAATCCAAGTTTTGACCATGGCGCTGTAAATCTAATGGTACTATAAAGGCAACAATAATATGATGATGTAAGAAGAAACAGTGGGTACCAGACAAACTGCCATTGGAAAAACCCATGGTAAATATTACTACAAATGGAAATCGTGTCAGAGTATTGCTCATCATATCAAACCCTTGTCAAATAATAGAAAATTGTGATAGTTGTCGAACAATCAAAGAAGAAAATTCTACCATACCATGGTACAAAATGGTCATGATGTATAGTCCTGGCAAATCCATACGCAAGCGCAAGCTCGTTTGCGATGTCTACCCTTTGTAGCGGCTTCAATCCTCGTTTTGCTTGGGGGATTTTGTATCTCCCGATGTGTTTGATAGGACATGTGTTTCATGTCGTATTTGGTAGACATATTCACCTCCTTTGCTCGTCCGGCTTCAGCAATTGGCCGTTCACCAACACCTGGACAAATGCAAGGGCTATGGCTGACATGGAAAAAAAAACATGCGAAAAACATGGGGAAATCCCCGATAAATGGAGGTTTCTAGCTGGGAATCTCTTCGTAAATGGGATTTCTCAGCATGTCTGAGGGTGGCAACTGGTTCATAGTTTGGTGCTATTTTTTTTAAATATCCGTACTAACTTGCAGTGTGGCAAACCCAATAGTAAACTTACCAGCAAAACACCCATCAAAATGGTGATGCCTTGGGGGGTGGTTTGTTTTTGAGCTTACCACCTTATAGTGAAATGGTATGACTGGGATATGTATGTATATTTTTTACTAGGTCGTACTCACCATCCAATTCTTGGAATCCAAGATAATCCAAGTTCCCAGGCCCAAGTTACCAACCGCAATAACGATCATATATCCTCTGGTTATGTCAAAATAGCTATTGAAAATGACCATTGAAATAGTGGATTTTCCCATTAAAGATGGTGATTTTCCAGTTCGCTATGTTAAATTACCAGAGGGTATTCGTAGAACCGACGCAAGAATTGCTTTTTGGACAAACAACTGGATTTAACAAGCAATAATTTCGGTACATCCCCAAAATGGATGGTCAAATACTGAAGATGATCAAATTTGCAGACCCCAAAATGTGTCCCATTTGTGAAAAATGTGTCATGGGGTAGTTGTAACTGGTAAGTCCAACTACTCAGGTCAAATATGGTAGTTTTGGGGCATAAATTGATGCATTTATTTTTGCGCATATCATACCAGTTGCAACCCCAGTTTTTTTTTTGCGGTGGAATAGCCTGGTGATTTTGACTCCGTACAACTTGGAAAACCCAATGTTATACCCTCTGGTTATGTCAAAATAGCTATGGAAAATCACCATTTTTAATGGGAAAATCCACTATTTCTATGGCAATTTTCAATAGCAAACTGTTAGTTTACCAGAGGGTAATATTCAAAGGTATTCTGAAGCGCGCAATAAAACAAGGAAGACCTCACATCCCACAGATGAATACCGTTGGATTGCGGCCATGTGTAAAAGATAAACCCCATTTCATAAACCATCCCCAAAATCATCATCTTTATGGTGGTATAAACCATCCCGGCCATCCCCGGTCATGGTAGGTTTATTGGGTTCCCACAGTATTTCCGTTAGGTATCAGAAGCAACCAAAGAATTGGTCCTCAGAAAAAAGTGAAGCAACCGAAGAAACAAGGTTACCCTCTGGTAATGACTAACGGTTTGCGAACTGGAAAATGGCCATAGAAATAGTGAGTTTCCCATGAAAAATGGTGATTTTCCATAGTTTTTTGTATGTTTACCAGAGAGTATCCACATTGTACCTAATTCTATCCCCGTTCTACCACCTTGTTTCCTGCTTTCAATTCTCTTGTTGGTTACCCTCTGGTAAATTAACAGTTCGACCCTGAAAATAGCCTAGTTTTAATGGAAACTAATCTTCCAACCCCGATGACTGCCATGGAAAATCCCTTATAAATGGAGGTTTCTAAATGGGAAAATCATCTATTTCGATTAGGGCCATCTATACCATGGCTATGTTAAATAGCCAGAGGGTATATTCCCAACTATATCCCATTAATTCCCATTAAGTCGCCATAAAACACCATTAGTTTACCAGAGATAGTCATAACCAGAGGCTACATCACCATTTTTCCTTGGGGAAATCTCCAGCGAAATCCATATCAATCCCATCCCTCTGTTCCAGCCACCCGCGCTCGCTCAGAGACTTCATTGGCAGGGACCGAAATCACCACCTGAAACGTGGCGATGGCGATGCTACACATCATATATTGGTTATATGTTTATACATATATATATATATACATATATGTATATATATATATATTATATTATATGTTATATATTATATATATATATATTATATATATATATATTATATTATATATATATGTATATTATATATATATATGTATATTATATATATATGGGGGGTTCCATAAATGGGGGATCCCCAAAATGGTTGGTTTATCATGGAAATTCCGTTTGAAATGGATGATTTAAAATTTAGGGTGCCCCATTTTCAGGAAACCTCCATATATTATATTACTAAAATTACCCATCACTACAACATTGATACGGCCATATGATACAACAGTATTTAAGTATATATATATATCATATGAGCCTCATTTCAAGTGATATATCATATCTACAACATGATTTTGCAATCAGTGGCCATGCAACAGGAACCTAAATTTTATTGGAGGTACCTACATACCAATATATATCATATATATATATACCTACAGTTTATTGGAGGTACCTACCATATATGCCTATATGAGGTATGGCGATACAACGGGATCGCCCGGGGATATGATATCTGGATGGACTCTGGATTAATCCACGGAATGTCTGGATTTTCGTGGAAAAAATCATGTTTTTTTTGACAGACTTACATATTATAATAATTCCATAATTATGTAATTTCATAATTATGTAATTACATATTATATATATATATAGTGGAAAGTAACCCCTAAAATGCAGATACCAGGCAACACAAAGGGAAAGATTGAAGCAACTTTAAGAATATGAACCAACAGGCGGGTTCCTGCAGCACTCCCAATTTGGTGAAAGACCAAATAGATCCAAATAGCAACTTTCATGAGAAAAATGATGATCAACCGTGAGGTTTGGGAGTGCCCCATTGACAAAGCCATACTCAACAGAGCACGACCAGTCCCCATGGAGAGTTACACCAAGCACAAAGGCAGCTGACAGCTGAGATCGAATGAGACGAGTCCAGTCTGATGGAGAAATGAAAAACACAAACACAGACAAACACAGAGAATTTTGTGGGTCACGTCTAGTCCATTTTTTTGAGTCATCCACACTTTTAAAAAACGAGGGTTACCCAATGCAGGTAACTCAGACTCAGTGATAACTGGTGCCCCATATTGGTGCCGTCATCGCCATGTTCTCCCCACCTGGCGTTGGTCTGGGTTCTGGAAATGGCATACGAAGTCTGAGATTCCTAAGCCCTTAATGACCTCGGAGACAGGGTCAGGGTCAATGGCCGTGGGCGCATGGAAATTTGGGGCTTCATTGACTCAAAATGGCCCACCCGAAAAAATGGCCCACAACAATTTTGCTACGAACACAACAACATTTCAGTGACAACAACATGACCCGCCAAAAAAAAAACTGTTGGGGGATGTCATCGACTCCTGCTCGACATTGGGATGGGAGCTGCAAGAGTAAATCCTCAATGCAGCACCGTTAAACCGTGGGAGCCCATCAAAATGGATCTCCAGAGTTTGGTTTAGTTTCACCGTAAAAAAAACCCAAAAAATGTTCGATCTATCAACCCAATGGTTAACCTAGTTGTTCCAAACCAAATTAGCGATTCCAAACTGGGGCACTACCTTGTAGGGACAAGAACGCCCGCCTTGATAGGAATGAAATTGTGGTTTTGCCTTCCAAACTTTTGAATCCACCAACCATACCAGAGCTTGTTTTCCCATTGGATATATCCATGTTGCTGAGTTTCGTGGTTTAAAATCACAAAGTGGGTGTGTTATACCACCACAATTCCAAGTCAAAAGGCCACGAGAAGAGATATTCCACATCTAGTTTGGTTTTTCACGGGATAACAAAAGTGGACTGCAATCTCAATAGATACAGCTACCCATCACCGAGAGATTCATCCAACTCGAGTGTCAAAACCATAAGAGGTGCCCAAAACCATGGTAGTTATGAGATATGAATCAGTTTCATTCAGTGATATCGCCGCCGTCATCGTCATCATCATCATCATCGTCGTCGTCATCATCATCATCATCATCATCATCATAAACAACAACAACAACAACAACCACAACCACAACCACAACCACAACCACAACCACAACCAACGACGACAACAACAACAACAACAACAACAACAACAACAACGACAACGACAACGACAACGACAACAACAACAACAACAACAGTAATAATCATCATTTCATCACCTTTCTATCACTTAGATTCCCGGTATTGAGGCGGTCAAAGACCCGAAGAAATTGGTGAATTCTGGCTGCGTAAAACCACATCTTTCGTCTTCACCTGAAATCGCTATGTGTCAAAATTGGGGAGGCCAGGCTTTTGGTCAAATTTACCCTCTGGTAAACTAACATAGCTATTGAAAATCTCCTTTGATAGCGAGTTTTCCCATTAAAAACGGGTGGATCTTTCCAGTTCGCTATGTTAGTCATTACCATGTCGGGTAGTTCGATTATATAACCAACAGATGGGGCTATCATATATCTATAATATGGGTTATATATATAACTATCTAACCAACAGTATTCGATTTGGGGAACCAGTGACAATGAGAGGCGACCCAGTGACTTGACCCATACCAGCATATCCAGCATATCCCCATGATCTGCATTTAGATGTACACATACATACCTATACATACACATTTATAGGTATTATGTATGTGAATATGTACATAGATAGATTAGATTAGATTACATTAGATTAGATTAGATTGAGGATTAGATTAGATTGAGGATTAGATTAAGGATTAGTAAGGAATAGTAAGGATTAGATTAGATTAAGGATTAGTAAGGATTAGATTAGATTAGATTAGATTAAATTAGATTAGGTTAGATTAGATAGATTAGATAGATTAGATTAGATAGATCGATCGATCGATAGATATGTGTATATGTATATATGTATATGTAGGTATCGTATTTATGTGGCATTATATCCCATTAAATTCAGGTCTTCTGTCCTCAAATGTATACTCTAACCTTGGGCCCCGGACAATTTGATTCTCCGGGTGGCTGCCGAGCTTTGTCAGTTGGCCCTGAAAAAACACTGGGTTCATCTGGGTTCGTTGATCCGAAACATGACAGAGATGTGATCATGTGTCAAAGGAACAAAGATATTTATTGATAGTTGTATGTGTATATATATACATATTTGTAGATATATATATATATGAATAGATATATGTAGATATATGTAGATATATGTAGATATATGTAGATATATGTAGATATATGTAGGTATATGTAGATATACCTGCATCCTCGAAAAAGCACAGATAAATGCTCATTTGAGAGATTTCTGCTTTTTGAGCGGTTTTTCTCCGCATGAGCGTAATTGCACCACTTTAAGCATTTTTGCACTTTGTGCATTTTGAAGCCAAAATTATAAGCGTATTTTGCCGGGAAATAAGCGTAAATACCCGGGAAAAAAGCGTAAATGCCCGTCCGTCAAGAAACAAATGCGCGTTTTCTGGTTCAAGTGAGCATAAAAAGTCAGAACGAGCGTAAATCCAAGCGAAAACTGCTATGAGCAGAAAAAAGTGCTAAGTGAAGATCGAGGTATGTAGATATATGTAGATATATGTAGATGTATGTAGATGTATGTAGATGTATGTAGATGTATGTAGATGTATGTAGATGTCTGTCTGTCTGCCTGTCTGTCTGCCTGCCTGCCTGTCTGTCTGTCTGTCTGTCTGTCTACCTACGTACGTACGTACGTCTGTCTGTATGTCTGTCTGTCTGTATGTACGTACGTACGTACGTATGTATGTATCTATGTATGTATGTATGTATGTCTGTATGTCTGTATGTATGTATGTCTGTCTGTATGTATGTATGTACGTACGTACGCATGTATGTATATATATATATGCTCATATGCAAACACCATATGTTTAAATACATATACATATTGGTATACTTGTCTTTCAACATGCGTGTTTTTTTGTTCATGTGTACGAAAAAAAAACCTGTGTTCGGGCCCAGTTGGTGCCAAAAAATGGGATTTCTAGCAGGATATCAAGCATCTATTCCCATTAAGATGGCCACCACTTATCCAATAACTCAACATAATGACATGGCGATGGAAAATGGACCATTTGATGATTTACCTGTCAAAAAACTATGGAAAATCACCATTTTTAATAGGTAAATCAACTATAAATGGGCCATGTTCCATAGCAAACTGCTATGAAATGCCAGAGGGTTTTTTGCTGTGAAACTATGTTAACCCACCCTTCTCCGTGGCATCACCAGTGTGTTACCCCATTCGTGTTGGGAAAATGCCAGGGGGGCAAAGAATTTCAATCCATCCCATCAACATTGGTTGTGTATTGGATCTATTCATTGCTCGGTCCGGAAAACTAGGGGTATTCGATATTAGGGACAATGGATTAACATATAAGCATGTCCGGAGATGTTGTAATATGTTAATCATTTTGGATGTGAATAAATATCAAATCATGTTTCATATCATTAACATCAAAATTGATGTGTATATATATATGTTAATATCAATCTTGTCATCCCACATTTTGGAGGGATGAATCTCATCAGCATAAAAAGTCACTTTTTGGTGGCGCCATGGCGCGGCACCTTTGGCAAAAAGTAGACCAGGCAGCCCGAGAGAACTGGATCATCACCTCCCAGCCAGGCCAGCGATTGCTGTTGAGGCTCTCATGATGGCTATTTGGCAACCAGTTAATAGTGGTTAATCTATGGTTTATAATGGTTAATAAGGGTTAATAATGGTTAATAATGGTTAATAATGGTTAATAATGGTTAATCTATGGTTAATCTATGGTTAATCTATGGTTAATCTATCTGGTTGGTGGTATACCTACCCCTCTGAAAAATATGAGCTCGTCAGGGATGATGACATTCCCAATATGTGGAAAAATAAACAATGTTCCAAACCACCAACCAGATATTAGTTGATGCGTGATGGTTAATTAGAATGACTAGAATTAACAATCACTATTAATTAGAATGATCACCCATTAGAATTAACAATAGTTGTCCATAATCACTAAATCATATTAATAGTTAATTAAAATGGTCATGATTTTCACAATCACTAAAAAAATATGATGAGTGATTGATGATGATTAAATTAAATAAAAGTTAACGGAATTCTACTGGTCCCAATGATGGCTAGTAGTGATCAATGACTTCTTAGTTTTAACCAAATGGAGGTGTCCTAAAAATGGAACCACCCCAGGTGAGGTCCGTAAATGCGAAGCAGCTCTATATGAAATATGCAAAACGAACCTGGACCGCAAAGATCTACCTTTTTGCCCCTCCAACCGGAAAACCAAGTTGTTGATATTTTGTAATGTGTTGTGTGCATCATCCTTAGGGGGGGGTACCTAAAATAAGGCCATTTTGCGAGACTTACCCTCTGGTAAACATAAAAAAACTATGGAAAATCACCATTTTTAATAGGTAAATCAACTAGAAATGGGCCATGTTCAATAGCAAACCGTTAGTCATTACCAGAGGGTAACCTTGTTTGGAAACAGGGCCATTCTCCGATGACCCAAACAGAGACTGCCAAGCGACTCATGTTGAGCAAATGAGGCGTATTCCTCGGTTCCCAGAAAGCCATGGGCGTTGGTCAAATTTTAGGCTGTTTTTGTCTGTGTAAAACCTGCCAGTAAGTTCTTCAGGCTCTGAAAATTTAAAGTTTGACAATCCGATCTGATCCGATACTCAAATTCTTTGGATATCAACCATTGACGCATCGCCATCCCGTCTGTTAAATAGCAGTGATCAGTCGTCAGAGTTGCCAAAGTTATATCCCCCAAGTTGGATTTGAGAACCACTTCACTAAACCCATCTCTAAATTCTCTAAACTCACTTGGGTCTATCTGAGAAGGGTGTATACAAGTCATAAAAAGGGTGAAAATGATGATTAACCAGTGAATGGAACAGGGTACCCATTCATAAATGTCTTGACCCCAACCCCGTAGAAATAACCAATGTTGCGAATGTTAATAAGTCTTATATATAGACAACCCTAGTTTCGCGACCATTAACATGATCATCATTTGCTTATCATTTGGGTGTTTCTCAAAATTGTGTTACCCAAAAAATAATGTTTTTCCCATGAAAATGCCCAATGCTTGACTTGTTTGGGGTCCCCCGTTTCAAGAAACCACTGTTTGGTAAAGATTGAGTCACGACATGAAAATCATGATTGACCATCATCAATTAATGACCACTAATTCGAAATCTCCATTGACCACCCCCTACCAATTTTTCACACGGCTGGAAAATACCCCTGTATAGATGATTTTCCCAGCTAAACCTCCCCTTTTTTTGAGGCATTTTCCAGCCATGTTTGATGACACAGTAGTAAACCAATAATTGTACAATAATTATCTATTAATGATCCATGGATTATCCTTTTTGATTATATGCTCATTAGAAAAAAACTCTCGGATAAACTAACAGTTTGCTACGGAAAATCACATTCTTTTTAGGTACATCAACGAACTGAATGGCCATGTTCAATAGCTATGTTGAATTACGAGAGGGTATCCATCGATTGTCCTTTTTGGAATATCCATTATATGGTCCATATACCCATTATATAAACATACCCGCTAATATTATATAAACATACCCATTATATAAACATACCCGCTTTATTTCTTATGAGCAATCAAAGATACCCCTATCCCATCTCATTATACTGGTTGGTTGATAGGTTTCCCTACTATGGCTTATCATAATCCCCAATAAATTAGGTAATACAAAAATCCTCATATCAACCAATCAACCATGGTATTGGATTAATGGATTTATATACACGTTGTGTAATGGATGAATGGATTTTTGTAGAAGTTCCCAAATCATCCATTTCATTTTCGGGCTTTTCCATGAAATCAACCAACCAGCTATTGGGGGCATTTTGGGATACCCTCTGGTAATTTAATATAGCTATAGCAAATGATCATTGAAATAGTTGATTTACCTCTTAAACATGGTAGATGTTCCATCGCTTTTTGTATGTTTGCCAGAGGTTAAATCCCCATTTTCCGCTGGTATCCCCATTCATGGAAAGTCCATGCCCCATTGACCAAGACACTTCTCGAGACCAAAGACCTCATCCACATCCTGCAGAGATAGTTGCCATAGTTATTAACTAGTTTATGGGGTTGACAACCAATGGTTAATAATGGTTAATAACCAACAATAAATATTATGGGATTATTAGCAATATGTGTATATATATAGATATATGGAGGTTTCCTGAAATGGAGGTACCCCAAAAACGCTGGATGGTTTATTTCATAGAAAATCCATCTATAAATGGATGATGACTGGGGGTACCCCTATGGATTGGAAACCCCCATTTGGAGTCATCTTGTTGTTTCATAGTTGTTTGGAGTTATAAACCACTAGTTATCGAAGGTTCCAGTATATTGTAGATACCCTCTGGTAATTTAACGTAGCGAACTGGAAAATCACCATTTTCTAGCTGGGAAAATCCACTATTTCGACTGGGCCATTTTCCAGTTCGCAAACTGTTAGTTTATCAGAGGGTATATCCCATTAATATCCCATTGAATCACTATAAAATCCCATTAATCCACTATAAATCCACTATAAATCACTGTTAGTCATTACCAGGCCGGATATCTCTATCATATCATATCATCGCTATGGTTATCAACCACCATTAAATCCCATTAAATTCCATTAAACCACCATTTTCCTATGGTTTTCCTATGGTTTTCCTATGGTTTAGGGTTATCAACCACTGCTATATCCCAAAAACCTTGGATAAATATGCTGTGCAACTCCACCCCCAGTGGCTTGTGACAAACCTGTGATGAGTTGGACCGAGTTGATCGCTGCAAGAATGATGGCACTCAGTGTTTTTAAAAAGCAAAACATGATTTAAAAGGAAAAATGATGCAAAAATATGATTTAACATGATTTTAATTGCTTTCAAACATGATTTAACCAGCAAAAATATTGAACCAGCAAACCAATTGAGACTCAGCAAAGAGTTTTCGCAAAGTAAATGTGAGTAGTTCGCTTGCAACCTGACATTGTAAACTTGGGCATGAATTGAACATTCGCTTTACCACATTACCAACCATGACACTAAGGTGTTTCACCCAATCAAACCATTACTATGATCATCACTATCAATATCTATCATGACGAAACCGGAAAAAAAACATGGGGCACCACAATCATGTTTACCCAAGAGGTTTTTCATTGGTAGACCACCTGAGTTTTGGATGTCTGTTGGTAAACCAACCTGGAAAGTTCGGCCAATCCCTCGATTTCCAGTGAAATTTTACGACGTGACGTCGTCGCCTTTGTATTCCAAGATGAAGCGGCCGTTTTTTGGGGGTCAACATGGTTAACATGGGATATTCATGGTTCGCCAATGTAGTTTAACTAGTCACTGGTTGGTGGTATACCTACCCCTCTGAAAAATATGAGTTCGTCAGTTGGGATCATGACATTCCCAATATATGGTGGAAAATAAAAGCCATGTTCCAAACCACCAACCAGGTAATATCATGAGACGGGACCTTCCAAACGTTTGGACTTCGATGTGGAAAATCACCGGAAAATGTCGGTAAATCAAACTCCATGGACCATAGGTACGCTCTGGTGACTAACGGTTTGCGAACTGGAAAATGGCCATAGATTTCTAGTGAGTTTTCCCATGAAAATAGCATGGTGATGTTCCATAGTTTTTTGTAAACGTTTACCAGAGGGTAAATCCTATTAAATCCCATTCAATCCCATTATCCCACCATAAAATCCCATTAAATTTCTATCAATGGGCCATACTTATTCCACATCTACCCTCTGGTAATTTAACATACCTATTGAAAATGACCATTTATAGTGGATTTTCCCATTAAACATGGTGATTTTCCATAGTTATGTTAGTTTACCAGAGGGTATTCCACATCTATGTCACTTTACCCCAGGGTAACCAAAAAAACCCGCTGCACCTCGCTACTGAGACCTTGTTGGTTCAACGCTTCTTGTCGCGCCGAAGCCAACAACTGTGCCTGGTGATCACTTCGAAAGCGCAAAGAAAGACAAGATGATGAGGGCAACTATTCTTAGCTACAATGTGGTGCCCCCAAGATAGCTAAGTTGGTTTATAACTCCAATAACTATGGTTTATGGTACTTATAACTATAGTTACTGGGGCTTATAAACCAACTTATAACTGGGGTGCCTCACATTGTGGCAGTGTGTCAAAACCTTGTACCCCTGGTGAACATCAAAATAGCTGGTAAATGGATGTTCATCCCACTAAAAATGGTATTAATAGGTATTGATCCATAGCCATATGATGTTATGATGAACTTCAGGGATGAAGAAAACTCCGATGATCACGATGATGAACTCCAGATGCCATCCAAATATCCTGTTGACCAAGAAAGTTGAAAACTCTTGAAACATTTACCCAAACATACCCTCTGGTTATTTAACAGTTTGCCATGGAAAATCGCCCATAGAAATAGATGGGTTTACCGTTCTTAAAAATGGGTGTTTGATTTTCCATGGCAAACTGTCTGTTAGTCAGAACCAGAGGGTACCCAAATATCATAGATGGTTTACCGTTCTTAAAAATTGGTGTTTGATTTTCCATGGCAAACTGTCTGTTAGTCACAACCAGAGGGTACCCAAATATCATAGATGGTTTACCGTTCTTAAAAATGGGTGGATCTTTCCATGGCTATGTCTGTCATAACCAGGCCGGGTATAGCCATGGGGATAACAAGGCCTCAACAAAGTCAGTCGATCCTGAAAAGTCCAGCCTCCTCTAGCTGATTGGTGTAGGATTGTCGCAAAGTCTTCCTCAGTGCGTGGCTGTGGCTGTGCTTTCCACCGAAAAGGCTTGTCATACTTTAAAAATGCCAAGAATGGTAGTCTAATTCCCTATTTCATTTAGAAAAAAAAAATCAGGGTATTTGGTTGTCGTTTAAGGAAGCTGAAAGATACAAAGGTTATTCAGCCCCTCCATTTTTGCCATCTTGACGCTTCCACTTCCATGTCTTTTGGTGACGAAAAAAAACTGATTCTTTTACTAGCGATGAAATCCTAGCAGTGTGGTGACACCGTGACACCCAACACTGCTAACCATCCTATTCAACACAAACCATGACGGACGGGGTCATGCGTCAAATCGTCCCTATTTTTGGGGTATACATGGTATACTTATACCCCATACTAAATCTCCATTAGGGATGGTCTATAAAATTGGGTTTACCACATGACCCCATAATCAGCAGGATCAATCAGAAAGAAATGTAGAGATTTTTCGGATTTCAACCCCCAAAATCCCATGGTCCATCATCATTTTCCGAAATCAAAATGGCCATGAAATGTGGTATCCGTTCTCAAACACGGTAGGTCCTTTTCTTTACCCCATGAAATTTAATGATTATGCATCCACTAATAATACAAGAATTCCCACTACACCAAAAAAAATGCAGTTCCTTGGGGCTCTCATACTTGGAATCAAAGTTGTTTTGTGACCTTGGAAAGGAGTTTGTCCTACCACCGAGCCGTTGAATCAACATCCTTCGCAGATGGCCGTTCGAAAAAACCCTCTGCTAAACATACAAAAAACGATGGAAAACCACCATTTGTTTAATGGTAAATCAACTATTCCTTTGACAATTTTCAATAGCTATGTTAGTTTACCAGAGGGTAGGTCTCATGTTTGACGGATACGGATAAGATATCAGCCTTTAAACCATAAAAAACATCCCATGTGTTGCCAATATTCCGATCATGTCTTTCTCATTCGCCATTTTTATCCATGTTTTCCATTGAATGGTCATGGTACAGGTACAGCCCAGTTGCAGACACATCACAATCTTCATTGTTGGTCAAACCCTGATCTTTTCATTGGTTTGATCCGTTGTTTTTGCTTCAAAGATCGGTCGTATCCCAATCTCCCAATCTCGGTCCGCTCAACCCGACGAGAAATCCTATTAAACCCTGTAAAAAAAAAAAAAAACACTAAATCCACAAAAAGAGAATCCTATATAAAGCCCATGATGATAATGGCTTTAGTGACCTTTTTTAATGCCATATAATGCCATATAACCCAAAAAATATCCCATATACCCTCTGGTAATTCAACATAGCTATTGAAAATGGTTATTTATAGTGGATTTTCCCATTAAAATTGGTGATTTTCCATAGTTTTTTGTATGTTTACCAAAGGGTAATCCCCCTATTTTCGACCCCAAACAGCACCAGTTCGAAATCAACGGCCCAGGTGCAGCACCCGTTCGCGGTCCGCAATCTCTTCTTGCACCGAGCCGGCGCCCAGGGCGTCCACCTCCAAATTTTTATGTTCCGGTTACAGCGGGTTTGTCAATAAATGTCATAAGAAAAGTCATGGTTTTATCACAGGAAACATTAATTAACATACCAGGAAACTGTTAAGCCAAACTGTCAATTTCCATGGTTTTATTAACTATAGATGTCATGATATAGATGATAACTATGATTATTATGATATATATATATATATATTATTAAGTCATGGTTTTACTATTCTATACCCGACATGGTGATGACTAACAGTTAGCGAACTGGAAAGATCCAGCCATTTTTAATGGGAAAACTCAGTATAAATGACCATTTTCAATGGCTATGTTGAATAACCAGAGGGTAAATGGTAAATTAACATAGACCCTGGCAGTCATCGGGGTTGGAAGATGAATGAAACCACTAAAAATGGGCGATTTTCAGGGTCTATGTTAATTTACTGGAGGGTATTATATAAATAAAATCATCATGATATAGATGATAACTATGATTATTATGATATATATATAACCTCTGGTAAATATTCTTATTGTTATCTATCATATATATATATAAAGAAAGTCATCGCCAATATTAAGTTTAGATATTTAAAAAAACACATCACCAATATGAGATGTTGATAATCACCAATATATTAAGTTGATATATTAGTAATGATGACATATAATGGTAATGATTGATAGTTATGTCATGTTGATAGCTATAATTGTCACAAGCATTAATTATAAATCATGGTGATGATGATGTTACTACGGTGACAATTATTATTAATAATGTAATATTGCTGTTAAATTATGTAATATTATATGTGTATACTGTAAAATCATTAATAGTGTCGTATTAACAATTATAATTGGCATAATCAGTATACTTTATTGTAATTCTATGGCTTACTAATAATGATGGTGATGATCAACAATTATTTTGTTGTCATTAGTATTGTCTATGAATATATTGTGTTCATCATAATAATAATAATAATCATCATCATCATCACCATCACCATCACCATCACCATCATCACACCATCACTATTTCTACTATACATATACATAGTATGATGACCATTTTACTCCAATTGCTCAGAGAAAAATATACGAACATCACTACTTGTAGCCCACACAAGGGGGGATTTTACCCTTTGGGGAGGGGTCGTTTGTTACCTCTGAAATTGCCATACTGGGGGAAGGGCATCCGAGCTTTGGAGCCCGCTGAGCCCGTACCGAACCCCCTCTGGTAAATCAACAGTTGGACCCTGAAAATCGCCCATTTTTAGTGGTTTCATTCATCTTCCAACCCCGGTGACTGCCAGGGTCTGTGTTAATTTACTGGAGGCTTTCGTGGTGATTAATAGTAAGAAAATGGTGATTAACTGTTTTTCATAGTGATTGATAGTCATTGGTGGACCCAAAATAGCGATAACCCTTTGATAATTTAACATACCGAAAATTACCACTTGAATAGGTAAATCATCGAACTAGATGAACCATGCTCAACAGTTTTGTTAGCTTAGTGGATGATAATTTGATATGACTGGAATGATGCATTTCTTTGAGCAAATATGGAATTGAATTGGTGGGACATATTCAATGGTGACTAGTGGGATGTAGTTGTCAGCACATTGTAAGATGGGATAACCCACTGAATGGTGACTTGCTAACCAGAGTTATTAACCACTTACTCATGTTAGTTTATCAAAGGGTTTATCAATCACTATTTTTGGGTTGTCCACCAGTGACTTTGAAAATCACTACTAATGGATATATAATGGATATATATATATATATGATACATATATATATATATATATATCCTATGTATAAAGGATATATATATATATACAGGAGACATATAGGCTCAAGGCTGGGGGTTCCCCGGAGCTTCCAGGAACCCTCAGTCTTGAGCCTATACTACAAACGTCGTTATGGTATAGAGATGGGGGGTGGGGGGGTGGGGGGGTTGTAATAACGTCATGTGGAGCGCGTTGCATTGAGAGTTGTGGAAACCTTGAGGATGTTGCTTCGTTGAAGATGTTGTTACGTTGCAAGTATCGTTGTTAATACAGAAGGGGGGTGGGGGGGGTGTAATAACGTTATGTGGAGTGCGTTGGATTCAGAGTTGTGGAAACCTTGAGGATGTTGCTGCGTTGACGATTTGTTACGTTGTAAGTATCGTTGTTGCTCTCGCTCCAAGCAGCTGCTTCAAAAAGCCCTTGTGGACGTGAAGATGAAAAAGGTGTGATGTTCATTTCGTCCATGGTTCTCCAGTGAATTATGACATTTTCTAGTTATCAACAAGACGACCAAAAATGCATGGAACCGCAATTCCAATGGTTAGAATGTTGCACACATTTTTGGCCATCCATGGAAGATGTAAATTTATCATTTTCTGCGCGGACAAACGTCAAGTTTATCCGCGCCGACATTGAAACTTTGGCTGATCGAACACTTTCAGAGAAAAGCATAAAACACTGTAAAACACAGTGAGAAAAGCAAAAAACACTGTAAAACACAGTGTAAAATCAACATTTTGCATATCCATACAAATAAAATGCAATTGGCTTCCGGGGAACCCCCAGCCTTCGCCCTATATATATATACAGGATATAAATATATATATATATTATACAGTATATATATATACAGGATATATATATATATATGATACTGCAGAGCGACAAACTGCAGTGGCAGCACCAGCCTACGGCAACTAGCAAACAGCGCACCTCCGCTGTTTTGCTACGCTTCGCCCAGTAGCACAGGGCCCGCTTGGGCCGCACCCACGCTGCACACAGCAGTCAAATGAATTGGAAAGATAAATGAGTTGACGTGTCGATTCACTGGCCCTAGATTCACATCGGCCACTCTCTATTGAATCGACACTAAAAGGATTGTGGATTCCTGTGTTTGGAATCCTCTTTCCGACAGCGACCACTGACCTTTTTCCATGACAGACCTCAAAAACGAACCGCTCATCTTTTTCGTAAGAGAATCAGAAACCATTCGGCTACCCTCCACCCATCTAATTTGACCCTGGGTTTTCTTGAAATCAGATTTGAGTATAGTGACATCAATTGCTGTCCTTTTGTCACTAATATGTGAGGCCGTGTTGCGACATTTCGACACCGTGTCGTACAGGCTCTTGGAGTCGGTGATGGCAATGAAGGGGGTGGAAGCTATTTGTTGTTCCCAGTCTTCCAGTCGTAGTATAGTTCCTCTGCTCTCCTCCAAAAGGGCGCGGATCCAATGAAGTGATCCAACTCCTTGAATCATCGCCTGGCACTCTGCAGACAAAGTATTCACCGTGCACCGCTTGACCTTGTAGCTCTTCCAAGTGATAATTGAAATTGGGAATGCGGCCTCCTCCACTTCCATTTGCGAATCATAGAAAAAGGTGATATATCCCCCTTGGCTCGCAAGTCGTTGATTCTGCAGGAACTTCTCATTGATCACCTCCTTCTTCCCTGCTTCGGCCTTTTTCTTGTAGAAGGTCGTGCGACCTCGCCAGGGATGATCACCAACTGGAAGTTGACTGTCTCGGTGGTTCCATTGGTCGGTGTGCTGCGTGTCGTCGGACTCAGTCAGTCGGTGGTTCTGTATCTCGTAGAGATCAGGTCCTCCGGGAACAGCACCAGGGTGAAATTTTAGTCGACGAGGTTGTCGATGTACTCTGATCCAGCTGTTGGCTGTCTCCAGCCAGTAGTCCTTGTCCTCCTCGTCGTGGAAGTCAGGTTTGACGTTACCCCAGGACGCATCGGTGATGGTACCAACCCTAAGTCGTTCAGGTGGTATTGGCTGAATCCGGATCCCGGTCGATGGAGACCGCAAAGCTTCTCTCGCCAAAGCGTTCGCGTCCAGAAGGTCCTGAATGTAGGGTTGCGGCATGCTCCGTTGAAGCAATGCTGTTCTGCCTGCCAAGTCTGGCCTCGTTTCCTTGCTCAACCATGCAAGTGATCCCAGAAGTCCTCGAAGTTGTGTGATCTCCTCCTTGTTACAGAAAGTAAACTTCCGGCTCTTCCGATCTCGAGAGATAGGGATTTCTTTGACCTTCTCCTTTGTATACAGCGGTTGGTGTATGAGAATGCCGCCGTCCTCCTGCATCTTGATCTCCTTACCAACGAACCTGCCATCTCCTTGACTAAACTTCCCGAGCTTGTAGTTCTTGTTCAGCCATTGCATCTTCTCCCAGTGTAGTTGGTCTCCTCCATGTAGTAGGTCATCGGTGGCCACGGAGATGATTCCTCGTAGCCTCCGGTTTTCTCCAAACAGGAGGAATAGGCAGGGATCCGTAGTGCTTGCTTCATATCCCAGCTCTTGAACCAAGATCCGTTGCAAATGACTGAACCATTGGAATGGACCATCAAGGAGTCCATAACAGCACTTTCGTAGTCGTAGAAGTTGTCTCGGATGGCATCCGGGAAGGCCTTCATGAGGAAGTTCTGCGTAGATTTCCCTCTGGAGTTCGTCCCCTGAATGGAACGCCTGGGTGAAGTCAAGGTAACCAGGCATCCACTTGAGACTGGCCAACAGTTGTAGGGTGAATAGTACCGTCTCTCGTCCCACCTGCGGGGTAGTCACCTCCAAGTACTCCGAGTTCTCTTCGCTGAATCCTTTCATCACATGTCGGGCTTTTGCCTTCTTGCTGGAATCTCCTTCCTTGGATATTAGGACTCCCTCGAACTCGGCCTTCTCAACATCCTCGGCTTCGATCCCCTTCTCGGTCAGGACATATCGGGATTGGACGATCTTATCCGGCTTTGTACGTCGAATGTTTTCCGACTCAGATCTGTCCAGGATCTCATAGGCTCCCGAATCGATGTTATTCTGCACCTCCCGTTGGATGGCCTTGTCGAACTTGGTCTTCAGCTCGGCAGTCATGTTCTTATAGCTCACCTCCTTCTTGAGCTTTGCAATCATGGCCTTCTCCAGGGATTGTAAATATACCTCCAAAAATTCTGTTCTCATCCTCTTTGAAGGTCGGTCCTCTGTATCCTCCCCTTCCGGCAAGGATCTTGTCCGTGGTTCTGAAACTCTGGTATCTGCGTCCTCCCCACCGGTGGCCACTTGGGTATTCTCTTGCTCCGGAGCTGTGTCTTCTCTCTCTTCTATTTCTTCGGTCTTTGTGTCACGACCCGCTGGTTCGTCCATCCTGGGCCGAACGATCCGTTCAAACTCTGGGGCTACTCCTTCTACGTTCTCCTTCAGGCGGAAGTAGGTTCGTCCAACCCAATCCTCTAGGGTATCCGGTTCCGGCCCATCTTTGTTCCATTCATCTTCTTCCTCATCCATCATCATGCCATCTGGAGTTTTCATGACCGATTTCCTCCAATTGTCAATCTCCTCAAGACGTACGGGGCAACCTGCCAGCTCTTCAGTCGGTCTGAACTTGGCTCTTCTGAGATTGTAGTGGATTCGGATCAATTCACCAGTAGCCGGATTGTACCTCCATTCGTCCGGGGAGCTTCTCTTGATCACCTTGTCCGCGGCGGTCTTCTGTCGTAGTCGAAGTCGAGGGGCCTCTGGATCTGGTAGAGCTTGTTGTCGTTCTTCCTCATTGGGGATCTCCTCCAGCGTCAGGTCGACGTACCCTCGCCTTGGTTGTTGTTCGATCTCCTCCTTCGTCTTGGTGATGTCGTCGATCCATCCCGAGAGTGAAAGCTGCTCCTCGTCATTGGCGTGTCGAAGATGTTCTGGAGCGGCCTTGACAATACAGCCTCTATAGGATATCCAGACCGTAGTCGGCATGGCGGTGAGGATCACCCTTGCTGGCCCACGCCAAAACATTGGCTTGTCCTTGAGCGCTCGTTCCATCCCCTTTCGCCAGAAATATACCAGTTGGCCCGCTTCGAATTCTCGTTGAGGTCGAGGTCCAGCATGTAAAGCATTGCGCAAGGATTGAGAGCAATCAGCCTCGTGGAATGCTCGCGCTGCAGCGAGTCGCATGTCCTGCGCATTCTGGATGGCAAGGTCTCCTGCACTGAGTTTTCCCAAGGTTGCTAAGTCTCCTCCACCACCGGTCAGTAGTCCTCCAGGAACTCGAGGAGAGTATCCGAGCACCCTCTGGATTGGGCTATATCCAGACTTGTTCATCAGTCGGTTGCAGGTCATCATCGTAATGTCGACCAAGTTGTGCCACTCCGACTCATCGCTGCAAGTGTGGTGCTCCAACGCTCGAGAGAAAACTTCCTTGAAAGCCTTGCCTGCTCGTTCCGTGATGCTCCTCTGAGTTGGCATCTCCAGTGAAGCGGGCTCGTAGTACGTTGAGTCCACCTCGCTGCCAAACATGAAAGTGCCTTTGAATTCGGTACCCAAATCAACATAGACTCGTTCAGGTGGTCCGAATAGTCTGATCCATTGTAAGTAGGCCTTTCGAGCGGCAGCCGGTGTATGGCTTTGTAAGGGAATCACCATCTGGAACCTGGATGCCCAGTCAACGATGTTGAGCGCCATCTTGGTCTTCTTACCCAAAGTGGGTAGCCAAACAGTGTCCACTCCAACCACCTGATTGACCTGCCAGTTTCTGGGTGGTGCGGCCGGTCGGGGTGGTTTGACCTTCTCATGCCTTGCGCAAACCGCGCACTTGTGTCCTCGGGCCAGCCTGATCGCCTCTTGACTAGCGCCGGCATGTCGGAGAATCCGGACCAGTCGATCGTTCGCCGGGTGCCCAAGTCCATCATGAGCTCGTTTGACCAGCTGTGGCAAAGAGAACGGTCGTTCCCTCGGAAGGTACGTGTATCTTGGGTTCTCTGCTCCTTCTGTCTCTCCTCCCGGCTCCTCAACCGTCTCTGGCTCCTCCAGGACCTCCCCATCGTCAGGCATCTCGTCATTCTTTGAATCCTCGTGCTCCTCATCGGTCTCGTGCTCGGCCGTCATGATGTCAAAGTCAGAGATGAGGTGCTCGGTTGGGACCAACTCGTTCTGTATCCGCTGAAGATGGAGACAATCTTGAAGAAGATGGTCAATTCGACAGAACTCCACACGCAAGAGCTCCTCTCGAATCTGTTTCTTGTAGCCCTTGATGATGGCCTGGACCAATCCTGCAGGATATCTCTGCGCCTGTGTGGACTTGTTCTCGGAGCCGTCCTTGCCAATGATCATGTCGTGCTCATGGGTGCCATCGCATTTGACCGTCAACATCTCCGCAATCTCGTTGGAGTTAGTGCACCATCCTGTAGACTTCCTTCTCGGAACTCCAGTTCTGGATTGCAGTCCAAACATGCATTGATCGCCCTTGGCAAGGACCACGTCCTCTCGCATCATCAGTTGTTGTAGAACTCGGTCGGACCATGCCTTAGATGTGACAGGGTGTTCGAAGACAAAGTAGCCACCATAACTGGCCACTTCCTTAGCAATTTCAACTCCGAACCTAAGTAACACCTTAGCTTGGATCAGGTTACGCAAGTACTCTTGTTGTTTTTCCGGGGATCGGTCAGCAAAGGGTCTTAAGTTTTGAAGAATGGAGTGCCATTTGCAGGGTGGTGAAATCAGGACAAGTCCGGGTTTGACAGTTCTGACATAACTCCTGACTTCATTACGCATGTGAGGATCCAACAAGTCGTGTCCTAAGTCCAGGTCAAATGCTTGTCCTGGAATCAAACCTTGTCTTTTTGCCTCTCCCTTGAACCTTTCCGGATTATACAGCTCGGCCACGACTCTGGTTGACTTTTCATCTCGGTCGAGAAGGGTAGCATAAAGCGACAATGCCTTTTTGTTGGACACTGCCAATTGGCCGTGTCTAAAGGCTGAATTCCTGAGCTTTTCTAATCCCGCTGACTGGACTTCAGTCGGCGCTGTACGGAGCAAATTCATAAGTTCCTTCCACATAGTCTCAGCACGCCCCAGTGCCGCCCGGGCCTGAAAGCAGGCGCGCTTGGCAGATTTGCTCAGCATTGGATTTGATGCCCAGTCTTCTTCTTCTGGACTCAGCTCGGACCATCCGGCTTCTTCTGCTGGCGGCGCCACTCGCGGAACTTCTGGAATTCCAGGAACTCCTCCATGTCGTTGGCATCCCCCTTCTCCTTCGCCCCCGTAGAGCTCGTCGATGCACTTCCGCTGGCCTTCTTGTCCTTGCGAATCTCCGCACGCTCTTCCATCTCCTGCTTGCGGCGTGCTCGATCCACCAGGACCTTGCCACACTGCATGCACGACACCTTCTCCCGGAAACCGTTGGTTCCCTGTCGACACTTGGGACCCAGATGATTGCACGGCCTGAATTTCCGTCTCCTTCTCTCCAGATGGGGTCGTTGGAGCCACCTGACTGCTGGAAGCTCGCGTCGTCGGCGGCTTGGGAGGTCGTGAGGCACTCGTCGAAGGAGATTTCTCCATGGACTTGAGGTTGCGTCCGGCTTGAATAGCCTGGTTCGGTCCCTCCCAGTGAGGCTGATGGGCGCACCACTGGAACATCTTGCATTGACGCGCTATCGGTAGTGGGCACCGCCAGAACATCCGTTGGAAGTTCCTCCCTTGCTTCCGGCACATCCATAGATCGCAGATCTCGTCGTGCTCGCAGACCGGGTGCTTCCCCTCCACATTCTGGTCCATGTAGTAGTCGATGTCCAGAGCCAGTGGGGATGGAGTGCTCGACGCCCTCGACGGGCTGTTGGACACCATGCTGAATCCGCAGTCCGAGTCCGCTATTTCTGACAGCGTCCCCTCGAGCTTCTTTGTGAGAGGCCATACACTGAATGGTTGCTTCTTGCGCTCCCTCATCTCCTGGTCGGTCATCTCCTCGGGGCCACGAAGGTCTCGGCCAAGAAGTAGTCCGATCAGAAGAGTGCTCATGCGGGTCATGAGGAACAGCAGCTTGAGCACCATTCTGGACCAAGCTCCTCCGGGCGTGCTCCACTCCGGTGGCTCGGTACGCACACGCTTGTTGCTCTCCATGGGCTGCAGGTTCAACGGAATTAGCACCGCAAAAGTCGGGGTCACTCGAGTCTCGGCCAAAAGCTGTGGTTTTCAACACTTCAAACTCGGCTTGGCTCTGCAGAACTTCCGCTTGAGTTTCTCTAAGATGTTTCAATTGTTTCGACGTGAAATTCGTGAGAGGGATTCTGAGTGCTCCTGTTGGTCCAATATGAAGGTCAACTGAAAACCCAAATTTCTTGAAATACGCTCTAAGGCCACAACTAGGATCTAGGTGCAGGACAGTTCGGCATGCCATGAGAAACGGGAGAGAAATCAGAAATGGAGCTTGTTCAGAGTGGTCACCAGTAAAAATAGCCGGTTTCAGAATGCTTCCCCGTCTCCCCAAACTAGTCGGAATAGTTGCCACATGTGTTGTGCTGGATGTCCCATGAACCGATTTGAAACGATATTCCTGTTTGATGGTCCCAATCTCCATGTCATTCGGCATAGCTGATTGAAGTCTCCTCAAAGTGGCCAAACCTATTGCCATCCTTTGACATCCAGTGTCAATAGTCCCACAGAGGTCTTCATGGGGTTTCGGGTTACCGGGATTTCCAACTCCCTCACTCCAAAAGATTTCACGGTTCACAGCTTTCAAACCAACCCCCGAACCAACACCTAAATCACAACCAAAACCTTCCGTCAGTGTGCTGCCGGACATGTATGCGCCGATATCGGCCGATTCAAATCCAAAAAGATGATCTTCCGAATTGGAAGCCATTGCATTGGTCGCAGGTGCGGTCGATGGCTCGTGAGAGCTCAAATCACTCAGTAGACGATCTGCAGGAGGAAGTCGTAGTTCATCACCAGCGAAGTCAACGTAGGGCTCAACCAGGTTGTAGTGATCCTGCTTCTCGACCTCCTTCTCCATGAAGCCGCAGAAAATCGCCTCCTCGGTGTCCGTAGGCTGGCTGTCCTTCTCCATGTAGTGGGCCTCCTGGGTGGTCTTTCGGCCTTGGTTCTTTGGGCACTGGGGGTCCTTGTGCCAGTGTCCAACTTGTCCACATTTCGAGCAGCGACTGGTAGCCTTCAGGGCCTCCAGAGACATCTTGTAGTTGCCACCCCTCAAGCGTCCGGTAACAGACATTTGGTTTGTTCCCCCAGAGCTGGCCGAAGACCCAGCTGGATTTTTCTTCCAGTTCCCATACCCACGTGCAAGCTCCTTGGCCTTTTTGATCTTTGCGCTTTGGACAAATGTCTTCTTGCGTTGGATCATGGTGTTCAGCACCTCTGCCACCTCGTGCTCGTCGAGAATCTTGTCCTCGGGCACCTGGGACGAGTCAGCCTCCTCATACTCAGCGTCCTCGGAGTAGAGCTCGTTCAGCGCGTCCTCCATAAAGTTGATCTCCTCCGCCGCGTGCTCATCCTCGATGAAGTAGTGCCCCGCCGTAGATCTCGTCGAGGCAGAAGTCCCTTTCCGATCCTTCTCTGTGCCGACATCCTTCGCCATCAGCTTCATCTCGTGTTTCCTTGCCCACTCTCTGACCTCGCTCGGGATGATCGACCCCCGAGTGAATGAGAGTAGGCTTTTGATGTCAGCATCTCCAAGTCCAAGAGCTTGAATAAGAAGAAACCCGATGTACTTGTCCGGGAGGATCACCTGGTGCTCTCGGATCTTCCGTAGGGCTTCTTCCCATCTCGACCAAAATCCCCTCAGGGACTCATCTTTCCCTCGCTTCATGTGATACGTGATCTTGGAAAGCGAGGCTAAAAGATCTTCTTCTCGATCTTCCCCAAAGTTCTCAGGTAGGTTCATGGCTTCAAGAAGGGCTGAACCTCCATTCTCATTGTTCAGCCACGCCGCATCCTTGGCCCAGTGTTTGAAGGCCTGGAAAGGCGCCCCTGAGAGTTTCTGGAGAATCAGGGGGCCCTGTGTCCTGGGTTTTGCTTTGGTTGTCGCCAGCCAAAGCTTGCACTTGATGAGCCAATCCTGAAAAGTCTGGCTCACCCCATCCCATTCTGGTGGTTGTCCGGCGCCACCTCCACGGTTGGGACGGTCGTCATCGCTATCATCCTCTGGTCGTCTGGCCGATCGCCCAACAGGTCGGGCAACAACTGCTCCAACTTCGGCTCGGCGACCTCCTCGTAACCTCCGTTCTCTCAGGAACTCCCGAAACTCGTCAGAGTCAAACGGGTCATCCTCCGGCTCCACTGTCGGTGCATCCGGTGGTCTGGAACCTTCACCTCCTTCAGCAGGATCACCGTCAAGACTGCCGTGCGACGACGGCACACGAGCCGCCATGGCTCTAACACCCAAAGGTAGGAGCTTTTGCTCCGCTACCACTGCAGAGCGACAAACTGCAGTGGCAGCACCAGCCTACGGCAACTAGCAAACAGCGCACCTCCGCTGTTTTGCTACGCTTCGCCCAGTAGCACAGGGCCCGCTTGGGCCGCACCCACGCTGCACACAGCAGTCAAATGAATTGGAAAGATAAATGAGTTGACGTGTCGATTCACTGGCCCTAGATTCACAGATACATATATATATATATGCAGGATATAAATATATATATATATATACGGATCTCTTGTGTCCACCAAAAAACTATAAGTATGGATGTGAACCACTTACCCAGCGGGATGATCCATGTATCCTCCTGATCCGCCTGTTAATAAGTGCTTAATAACCTACTGAATGGGGACTCACCAGGGCAAAAAAAGAGCCTCCACGCCCCGCGCTGCCAGGAGAGCTTTCAGGCGACGGACTTCCGCCTTAACAGCTGCGGTGTTTGTTTTCGCCAGGGGTGATTTATACCGTTGGCTGAAAACTTGGGTTTACTGGGGTATAAACTTGGAATGGTATTTACCCTCTGGTAAACTAACAGTTTGCGACATAGAAAATGGCCCAGTCGAAATAGTGGATTTACCCAGCTATAAAATGGTGATTGTCCATAGCTATGTTTGTTTACCAGAGGGTATTGACGTGGTATTTCTAGCAGCGCACAGTTGGTTTTCAATGGGATTATTGGGCTTTTAATGGAGATGTTCATGGGATTTCAAATGATTTTTTGCTGAAGATCTACAGTATCCAGCAAACATGGAAGAGTTTGGGACATTGTGGGTTTCATTTCCGCCACACAAAATGAAGACATGACTGCTGAAACCAAAAAAGGAGACTTCACCAAGTACATGGTGATATGATCCACCAAACATCCAGATTTTAGCAATCAATATCGGATGTTCACAATGGAAAATGGATGTTCATCCCATTTCATCCCCTTTTTTTAGCGGGTATTAGTAGGTATTGATCCATAGCCATATACATATATGCATTATATGTATCCATTATATATATATATATATTCATTATATATATATGTATATATATATACATATATATATACGTATTTATATATATATATATACCTATTCTCTTCCTTCAAAAGACATGACCCATGTTGGCTCCCACCTGAAGATGCTGCACCACCCCCATGCGTTGGTCCACATTCACCGAGGCAGAGGTCTTCACCTCTGACGAATCCGCTGATACCAAGGGATGAATGGAATGGATTATGGCTTGCCCTCTGGTAATTTAACGTAGCTATTGAAAATTGCCATAGAAATAGTGGATTTTCCCATTGAAAATGGTGATTTTCCATAGTTACGTTAGTTTACCAGAGGCTACATATTATATAAATAAACGCCACATAGAAACTTAAGTGGATTATATAGCCCATATATATATATATATGTCATATACAACTTAAGTGGATTTTAAGCCATATAACATATATACAAAGGGATGATGGGAATATAATCCCAAAATTAATGGGGATTCATAACCATAGATACTTATTTGTTATTATGATGGGGATTTATGGCTAAGCATCTATTTATGATTGAAAGATCTATTGTTTCACCCATATATATATATTAACATCAATAGATGGTTATTATCAATCAATAGATGGTTATTTTCATATGGGGATAGGAATTTGGAATAACCATCAATAACCCATCAATAGTTATGAACAATCGTTCATCATCAATAGTCATCAGTAATCCATACTTGGATGTACATATCAAGGATGGATTGGATTATATGGGTATATAACTCATATATAACATAAGCGCAAAAACAACCCATGTATCACTGAATTATGATGTGCTAATGTCACTTAGTTTGTGGTGAACATAAGCCCTATATCACTGGGAAGATTCCATATATCTAACTGGGGGTATACTGGGGTATGATATGTAGTATCCACTGACTAAGTGGGATGCACCCCTAAGTCTTGAGGGATTGATGGATTGGGATTTATTGCTGATTTGGGGGAGCTATAGATGCCATCTATTCCTCAGATTTTAGACTTGGGATTTATTGTCGTTGATGGACTGGAGCAATGGAAAATCACAGGAAACCTGGAAAATAGTAGGTGAAGATTGATTAAGGGATTGATGGACTGGATTTTTGGCTGTAGCAAACCTAGAAATCGTTCATGAAATCGATGGATTGCTGGGAGGTTGATAAACCACCGGGCTTCCTGTAGATGTTTCCTTAAAGAAATCCACTTTGAATTACGAGTCAAAAATGGGCAGTCACAAAGGGCTAGCAGGTACAGTATAGCTGCAACGGTGATAAAAACATGGGTCACCTATTCAGATTTGGGTGTATCAAGGGGACCAAACCGACAATTGAGAAATGATGATGAACCAATGGATTTTGGGGTACCATATTCTAGGACAAACCCATACTTCGGGAATGAACTCATAGGTCTAAACTGTGTTTTTGGGAATTTGGGTGTTGAAACTGGTGAATCACCAAATATGCTTGGGTATGGCATCTACTTGTGATTCTTGGAAAGAGGGTTTAGGCTTAGGGCTGAATCGGGATTTATTCTTAGGCTGGGTTTTTGTCACTCCGTGCAGTACAACTGGGGTTTGCACCCAGCTACTTTGAACACGGCTTATGGCCTGTGTGGAAACCCAGCGACTTCAATAGTTTAAATCCTCATTTTGCATCGTTAAGTCCCCGTTGTTGATGCTTAGCTCGCCC